CTCCTCGACTCTCAAGCTTCAACGGCGTATACATGTCCCGCCAGCCCCATCCACAACGAGTACCTGCAACGGTTTCCGTTCGTCATCCTATTCACTGTGTGCCTGGCGATCGTCAACCGCGCCAAGTGGAAGCAAATGCCGATTATGATAGTGATCTCCCTGGCTGGCTACGTGACCAACTACTTCAGCGCCAAGCGCTTCTATTCCAACACCCAGGTGTCCAATGCCCTGGGCGCCTTTGTCATTGGTGTGATGGGCAATTTCTACAGCCGCTTACAGCATGGGCTCGCCGCTGCGGCAATGCTGCCGGCAATCTTTGTCCTCGTTCCCTCCGGTCTTGCCGCTAGTGGGTCTCTGATATCTGGTATTACTTCTGCTGAGGAAATGACCCGGTCTCCATATGCGGTTGTGAACAATGGGACACAAGGATTTGTCGACGCGGCAAAGAAGCTATCAGCCGACGAGGCGAGAAGCCAAAGCTACGGGGTTGTTTTCGATATCGGATATGGCATGGTTCAAGTTGCTATTGGAACGACAGTTGGTCTCTTCCTAGCCGCTTTGGTGGTTTATCCGCTAGGCAAGAAGCGAAGCGGATTGTTCAGTTTCTAGGCCATGGAGTTTCTCATCACCTCTCCCTCAATCATATATTGCATTTATCTCTTTTGTTGCATGCATTGCTTTGTTGTCATGCTCGACTACCGAGTCTCTTGGACATTTCACATACATGAACCCCGAATCTGAGGAACGGGAGTTTACTTGCTGTATTCTAATTGTTTTCTGTTTTATGAGACTGGCAAATGCAAAGGCTATTATTATTAGCCTCTTTGCTGCGTCATCTCGGTCTTTCTTTCCCTCTATTTTCCTCGCCGATCAAGTCTATATCGACTAACTATCCCGACCTTCTCCGTTTGGACATATATAGAAGCTACGATTCTCACGAGTCACGACTAAACTCATCGAGGCTCTCCTTTCGCGTGTGCCTGTCCTTTTATTTTCTTAGTTTTTCATCTGGGGTGTCATATATGAATATCGAGATGGGAAGAACAAAACTGTTTGTCTGAACTTTGTCGTTGTATGTATCTTAGCGAAATATGACGGAATAGGATTCGCCATTTCCGTAGTTCACTAGTACATTGGTGGGCTTGATGTCTGTCGATGAGGCGTTGGCTATTGGATGCTTCTAAAAGATCGTCATCTAGATATCGAAGGACAATAGCCGGGGGTGAAGCAGCGTGCTCGATTTTTACATAACGCTTTGTTTTGTCTCTCTTGTATTCAGTCTCCTGCTCTAGGGCCTCCGCCGATGTACCCAGCAGCGTTTGCAGACATTCCTCATCAATGACTATGCACATTCGGTATTTGTTGAAAGAATCACGCTGACCCTGGACATCCACCCATGCCTCAAAATGAGCGCGTATCGAATCAATTGAGGCACCATCAAAGAGAGCCGCATCTTCTATGACGGTTGAACTATATTTGGCCTGGATTTCCTCGTAAATGGCGGGATCTACGCTAGGTGAACTCTCGTTTTTAGATGCGCATTCCCTAAAGAATGATTTCTTGACAAAGGCCTCGACATACTTGACCGCAGTGGAGAAGTGGGCGTCAGATTCAGGGGAATAAGTGGTGCGATATATGACATATCCCCAGTTCGGATGGACTTTGAGTTTGTGATAGAGCTCGTGTGAAGATTTGGAAGAGAGCGCGAAGGTGAGAAGCCCGAAATTGGAGAATCTCGACGAAGAGGTGTCCAAACTTATGCACCGTCACTGTAAGAAGCAAGTCGAGAGCATCCCTGACTAAGCTCGTTAAGGAAGGCGCCTGGGCCTATAAGATCGACGCCTAGAATCCATGAGCTCAAAACTAAAACTTATATCAAGACCAGTGAAGTAGAGATGGGATCGAATAAGTATCTCAATTCTAGCCTTTTATTAGTTGACGGCATGTATTAGGTACCTGACTACCTATTCACTTCATCTTGAATCTCTGCACTTTGCGGAGCATCAGATATCTCAGAATTGCAAATCCAAACCCCAAACTCTGAGCTTATCAAACAATTGAAATGCCATTGTAAATGCGCCTTTCCCCATCCCATGGTGTTGGGCTGGGGTTTCGTCAAGATCATCGCTATCAATCAATTCATTCATGGTGAATCCCCGAAGGGAACAGAAAAAAGGAAGAAAGGAAAACGAATGCCGAATCGCTGGAAAACAGATTATTGGGAATATACGTAGGAGAAATCTCCTAGAAAAGCGAATGAACAGTATTTTCTATCGTCTCTCCACCCGACTAAGAGCTCCCAGAATGAGACCCAAATCTTCCTTAATTCTCGTTGGTGGTGGATGTTCATCATCGTTGCCTTCTATTGCGAGGCGACGTTGTGTGTTCTGCGCATCGCGCTCTTCCAGTCGCTGTGCACAGATGCGTAATATTCGGGATGAAACGGTATCCGCGGAGGCACGGTATAGTTCGATGTCATGTACACCGGCTGCGAAGGCATCGAGTGTCGGTGCCAGCCCAGATGTGATGCGTGATAATTGAGCAGAGACGGCAGATGGTGTGATAGGTGGTCGGATTGAGGATGGGGCAGAGGATTCTCCCTCTGGCTGATTCGGGAGATTAAGGAATTCTAGTATGGCTTGTTGTGAGGGATCGAGGAGAGAGGGGTCGACTTCTTCGCGTTGTGATTTACGTGAAGTTTGCTTATCTTTGTGTAGGTCGTCAGATTGAGGTTTAGCCTTAACGGTTGGGATCGCTGGCTGTCGAAGAAGCGCATTGAGAGATTGTCTTTCTTTGTGTAATCTGGAAGTTCGTTAGTTCTATACACTCGAGACAGCTCTTGGTGATACACATACTTCTGTATATGCTCCTCCAATTCCTTAATCTTGTCTGTATTTTGCAGGTTTCGCGGGTTCGGTTTTTTGACCACCACGGCTGGAGGGTTCAAATCTTCGCGACCAAGCCAGTTGGAAAGCTCCGAGTTGTTTGAAAAATCCTGAAGAAGCTCCTCTTGAATCACACGCGCTAGAAATGGTCAGATAAAAAATCCCTCTAGGTAAGTAAACGGTTCCACGTACCTGCTAAGCGCGCACTTTGATCGTCCGAGTTGGAGCCTCCTGAGGGCTTTTCCCCTAGTGCACGAGTCGCACACCAAATCAATAGTTGTCGCATCCTTCGCGGTTCAGGGATTCCGTCATCGGCGATGTGCTTGTAAAAATCTGCTGTGCCAACTTCTCTATGGGGTAATGCTGTACAAGAAAAGAGACAAAATCAGCATTCGACCATTTATAGCCCATGCAGACCGAGAATCTTACCATTTGATGTCCCTGAGTCGATCAAAAAACTGGCCCTTCGTCCTCGCATACCCAAGCTGCTTCGCCGTCGCCCTTTATCGTTTTTATCACCCTTTCCGCCTCTGAACTCTTTATTGCGCTGAATCACCGGAGTATCGGCCACCGGCAGTGCCACCTTTGTACCCTCTGGCGGTTGCACTGGGGAATTATATCCATTTGACTCAGACACTTGCACTTGTTTTTTGGCTTTTGGTGGTCGTCCTGCTTTTTTCGGCTTTTTTGCCTCCGGCTGGTGCTCTGGGCTGTCGCGAGTTCGTGATGGGCGAATCGTGTTTGTTGGTTGAGATTCAGATTCTGTGTGTGTAGTCTTCGCAGTTCCTCTCGTAGGTCTCCTACTTGGAAGCTCAATGCTTTTCCCCTTTGCTGGCACCGTACTTGAAGTGGTCTCGTCGCCCGTTGGCTTTTTTCGTGGGCGTCCTCTTTTCGGCGTGGACTTGGGAGGCGCATTTTCCACGTCTGAATGGGGCATTTCCGGGACCGCTTCGATTGATGGCCTGGGCTTCTTTGATGGTAGTAGAGAGAACTGGAACCCTTCTGCATCCTCCTCATATGCCACTAGAGATGAATTAGCATATTCTTTCAACACCGCTCAACAACTTCCAACCCCGGCACATTACTCACCAGCTGGCCGCTTCCCTAGCTTGTTTGTGCTCTGCTCGAGATCTTGTTTACTTGCGCTGAGTCGCGTAGTCCTCTGTTCCTTGGCCTTCACGGTTCCACTGTACGCAGTTGCAGAGCGCGATTGTGTCTTCGGACCGGCCATTGAAATCGTCCCCAGCGGTTGGCGACGCTTTGTCTTGGTCGTTGTGGTCGCCAGGACCGCGACTGTCATGTCAGGAGGGGTTCACGCGGGGTTATTGTGCTCGGGAATAAACCTAGGGGTGGCAAAGCAAACACCCCCGTTCCGGTGTCGACTAGTCGCTTCGTGACGTCCTGTTCTCCAGTCAAATACCCCTGGTTGAAGAGGCTTCCTGGAGGAACAACAAGCGCGATTCCCGTGTGCGTATGAATGCTGGACTCGAGTTAACCCCCCTAAACGGCTGATCGATCTCGACACGGTCTTGCCGAATCAGACCGTTTGTTGATCAATGGGTACCTAATGTGTGTATAGGGTTGTGGCACGGTTGAATTGAGGTCGGGGCAGTCGGCTCGCGGAATGTTAGGCGCGGGTCGCGTCCCAATTCAGAACTGCAGCTGCGGAGCAGCAGACTAGGCGACTTTTTCAATTCAATCGCGAAAAAGACACGCAAGGGAGCGGCAGGTTGGGGTGTGAGTGGTGGGTTGGATTCTTGCACGCGGTTGTTTTGGTCGGGCGCGTGGGGACCGCGCTAGTCTAGTTTAGGACTATCGACCGTTATACTTCAACGTTGCTCTACTACTTTGATCACTCTAACTACTGCTTTTACCTAAATGATCCCAAATATTAAGCGTTATTAATGAATGACTGGCTCTAAAATGCAACACCCTGATTTCTTCTACCCCCAATCCTCGCAATGCGCAGATGCTGCTAGATAAACGCTATGATGTTTTCACCGGAAAACAAAGAACACCCCGACACCGATGTTGAAAAACAATATGTTCAGTGAGAAAGAGCGGTGGGAGTTGAGCCCTGTCCACTCCAAGGAAAAAGAAAGACAGATTATAGGATCATTGGAATGACTTGAGTAGGGTGGAGGGCTTGCTTGGTGCAAGGCTGCCCTCGATGCGGCGCTTGGCTTCTTGCATTTCCTCGGCAGTGACGTTCTCCGACTGCTTGGGCATATCAGGTTCATACTGAGGAATATCCGGGCTGTGTCCGACCGACATGCCAACTCGGATCTATAAGATAGGAGTGTTAGTATGCAATTGATCAAGTATGAAAAAAGATAAATCAGTTCGGCTCTTACCAAAGTTTCCAGTGCACACTTGGAGTTTTCCGCTAGGTCCTTGTCGAAATTGAGCTTGCCATTTTCAAAGAGCACTAGAAGGGTGCTGCCACCAAATTTGAAGTAGCCCAGCTCTTCAGCTCGTGAAACCTTCTCGCCGGCTGTCCGGGTGATGACCGTACTGCCGACCATCATGGCACCAACGCAGACAACCATTACTCGGCCATGCGCGACAGAGTCAATAGGGACGAGAATGCGGACATTCTCGCCGTATACATCCAAGGCGGATCGGATCGCCATGGGATTCACCGTATAATACTCGCCCTCGATGGTCTTGGGTTCACCCATTATTCCATCTACGGGGATGTGGAAGCGGTGGTAGTCTTGAGGTGCCAGACGGAACACTCCGACAGCACCGTTTCGGTATCGAGCAGCATCGTCCGGGTAAGCATTGCCTAACAACCTTTCAATCGAGAACTCACGGCCCTTGACCCAGATGCTAGTTGCATCGCTCAAGCGATCAAATACCACCGAGCGACAGTCGGCGGGAGACACAACAATCTTAGGTTCGTCGGGAGCGGAGCACGGACGGGCATCGGGCTTGAGGGCACGGTAGAAGAATTCATTGAAATTGCGGAAGTTCTCTAGGGGCATCAGAACTTCGGACATGTCCAGCTGGTGGAAATTGATAAAGTCCTTGATCTGCGATGCCGAGGCTGGGTCATCGTATTTGCGACCCTGCTTGACACTCAAAGAGCGCAATACACGGCGAACTAATAGAATTTGTTAGCAAACAGATCTTTTCGTCAACATATACACTTGAGCTCAAGGGTTACGTACTTCGCTTCTTTTCCATATCACGACTTTTGATGCCCTTATATAGCAGCCGGATCCCGAGTCGCACATATACACTCATGCGTTCCTCGTTTATCTGACCGGTGATCCGGTCTTGTACAAGGATATTGGCCGAGTTCGCTCCGAGTTTGTACCCGCCGTATGAGATCTTTGTAATGACTTTGGAGTACCACTTGCGCTGTGCCTGGCTGGAAGTCACAAAACCACCCATAACTAAGTTGTCAACCTGACGCCAATCCTGACTTGCGCACGTGGCAATGTGCGTGATGATATCCGCATCAGAGCGTTTCCCAAGACGTGGCTGGTGGCAGAGTGGGCACTCGCGAATTTCGACGACGTGCTCCTCGCCCCCATCGTCCGCGAGATCATCGGGCTGGAGGTACTCATCAGCGGAACTGGATTGTTCCTCATTGGACAGGGTTGGAATAGATGTGTTGTGCGGATCGGCATTAAGAGCAGCAATGGTGTTGGTTTCCAAAGTGTGCTCGTCGCTGCTAGATGGCTCACTATCTTGGCTTCCGGCGTTTGACAGAGGAAGCGAAAGCGCTCTGGGAGCAGCCATTGAATTTCTCTTCTGCAGGGTTTGAAGCGTGTCCTCGAGACAAATGACTGCCTGGTCGAATGTCAAATCATCGTTTTCATTAGACTTATTGTCCGCGCTGAAGCGTTTGAAGAAACTGTCAATTGTCGACTCCTTTAGCGTCGAACCGAGAGTGTCAAGCATTGTCGTCATCTCCACCTTGTCAATGCGACCACTCTCGTCGGCGTCATATTGCTTGAGCATCAACCTCCAGAAATGCTGTCGGAGAGCACTGTATGGCAGATACTTCGTCTTGACATGCAGCTCTGGCGAATGTTTGTCTTCCCACCGTTCTCTATTCTTGAGCATAAGGGGAATAGTACATGATCTGAAGCCGTTCTCGTCAATCGGGGCTGACTCGCCATCATACATGTTCAGGGTCGCCAATGAATTAGTACTATCCATCTCTGAAATTCCTTCTTCTGGGAGGGAAGAAGGTGTAAGGAGACTGGGCGTTGGCGCTTCGAGCATTGATTGGCTTGAGACTGATGTTGCGGAGTGGCGCGTCTTTATTATAGGCCGAGCCAGTTTGGAGAGACTTGACGAAGAATGCGAGGGTCTAACTCCAGGTCGCTGAGCTATCTTGGTACCTTTAGTGTGATCAGGTTCCTCCAGGTCCTCTACAAAGTGATATAATCCCGTCTCGGGGTCTGCTTCTGGGCCGGACTGGATGAGATTCCGCAGAGAAAAACCCGCAGAGGCGACAAAGTCATTCCCGGAGAACTTGTCTCGATCTATCACACTGAAGCTGATGGTATAAGACTGTTCGTGCCGCATCACCTGAAACACCATTTTCTCATGATACTCTGGGTTCAGGTTATGGCGGATGACAGGAGTTCTTAAGGTTTTCCTTCCTAGAGAGGTCACGACAAAAGGATCCATATCGAACGATGTCCGCGTTACTAGAACGTCAATTAGCATCTAGCGTTCTGCGTGCAGGAGAATGATTCATACCATTTCGTTCAGGAGGCAGATCGGTCACGCGAACAATTTCCATGAAAACGATACCTTGCACTCCGGTGCCCGAGCCTGAGAATTGGTATGCACGAGCTGCCAGGGACTTGCGTCTCAAGCGAGCCAATCGAAGTCGCCGGCGCTTTTCTCCCCCTTCTGGGCCGCCTTCTGGGCCACCTGCCGCGTCATCAGGCTCATCGGAGCTATCCTCGTCCCGGTCCAAGTCATCAAGATCGGCGGGAGGGATCTGAGAGTTCTGGTCATCCTCATCACCCGAGTATACCAATTTCTTGAACTTGGAGAATATTTCCGCCGGCGTGGCAGCGGGGTTCGCAGAATCGGCGAGCGAGAACTGCAGCAGAATCTCGCCCGACACAGTGCTATCCTTCTTTTTAGACGCCTTCCGCTTGGAATTCAAAGTATACCATTTAGGCTATGAATCAAGTCAGCCCGAGTCCCCAATTGTCCGAGCAACGTGTCCCTTCACCTACCTGTTGGTCCACCTGGCCATCAGCAAATATGTCCTCCAATGCGATATCGAATTCGCCCAGGTAATCCTTGCCGAATCGATCATGATCCCAACATAGAGCTTCCAACAGCGGCACGCCCATCACGGGCATGTCGAAGGAGACGTTCCATTCCGGGTTCAGGGTCTTGAATATGGTCGGCGTCGACTGCCTCGCATCTCCTAATGTAATCACCAAATACTGTGCAACATGTAAGCGGTCACGATTCGAATTGTCTTTGATCGCAGGGTGCTTACTGGGTCGCTCGTGCCACCTCGATCTTTGGCTGCGAGGTTACGTCCCTAATCAAACCATTGGAATCAGTCAGGGAGCCCACCAACATGAAAATGGTCCACAATTGTTCAGCACTTACTCGGATTACTGAAACCTTCAGCAGCAGAGGTTTGAGTTCCGGTGATCGTAACGGACTGGTGCTTCTGCTCCGTCCGGGAGTCGACGGCGCGCTCTTCGCCGAAAGGTGCGAGCTCAACCGTTGGGGGAGAGCCAACCGGACCATTGCGGATGTACACAAATGAGAAAAATTATAAGAAGGGAAAAGAAAGTAGGGGGAATAGAAAGGGTTGGGGCGGGTGGCTTGCTCCCTGGTCGAGACGATTGACGTTCAAGAGCCCCCCAGAGCTGATCGCCGATCCGCTGGTTGTGTCCCGGGTCGATCACAGGCCAAGAAACGGATTTACCCACTGTAATTTCCAGGTTCTCTCCGTTATTTCCAAAAACAGGGATTGGTTGAATATGATCGGCCGATCTCAACGGAATTGCAGAGAAACTTGAGGGGGAAAAGTGGGAGAAACACTGCCAATTGCGGTCAACGGGGGTCGACGGGGGTCGACATCAAAGAAACCTCCACACCGCAGGTTATTATAGGATCATAAGGTGGCAATTGGAAAAATGGATGCCTATTGTGTACTTGGCGATGCCATGGACATACTGTATGTATTGCTTTGTTTCTAAAAAAAAAACTTGTACAACTTATGCAATGTACTCCGGCCCTGCAGTAACCCCGCATCCTATACAAATATTGAGTGCTACTATGTAGTTTAGCCGAGGAACAACCTGGAAATCATAGTGCTATGAAATTTCTAGAATAGGACTCATCTGGAGTCAGTCTTGTCGTCGGTCGGCTCGTCCCCAAACCTCGTCGGCATTAGCTCTGCCCTTGGTTTCCGGCACATATCGATAGATGAAGACACCGAACAACCCAGCCATAGCTGCAAACACCCAGTATACCTGTCCACGGCCACCAAGGGCATCATCGAGCACTGGGAAGAATTGTGCCACCACAAAGGTTGCGATCCAGTTGGCACCAAGCGCCCAGCTCTGTGCCGCGCCGACAGCTTCGGGCCCTACGAGCTCGGAGGCCAGGATAAAGGGGACCGGGCCTAGTCCGACCGCAAAACTTGCCACAAAAAGTAAGGCAGCGATCGCCGTCAAAATCTTAGCGCTCATGAAGATACTTATCGCGAGAAGTATGGAACTGCAGCCCATACCGCAGATGCTCAGCATCAGGCACAATTTTCGGCCAATGCGATCGGGCAGGGGAGAGCACGCCAGCGTGATCACGAGATTAACCGCAGATATAATTACTGTGAGTAGCGCAGCCGTCGTTGGTAGGATGCTTTGGAGTAAAGACACGCTGTACATAACAATGCTGTTCATCCCGGTGAGTTGCTGGGCGACCATCACGCCAACCACAGCAATAATAGCCGGGCGGTAATAGGGGTCTTTGACAACCTGCATGAACGTGACTGCAGCCTTTCTAGACGGCCTGTCACCGGAAGAATTAGAGAGCAAGGACTCTTCCTCGCCAGATGCAGGGACATCTGAGGTGCTCCAACTCTCAATCTCCGCTTCAATGTCGGCATCCCGACCGCGGATCCGCTGCAGGACGCGGCGTGCCTGACTGATCTTCTGGTGTTCTGCGAGCCACGAAGGACTTTCTGGTACCAAGAACAACCCCAAGAGCTCCAGGGCCCCGATGATTCCGGCCACAGCCAGTATGAGTCTCCAGAGGCTTGCTTTGCTCCAGAAGTATCCCAGGGATTGTGTCAACAAAATACCGACATTGGTCATGACCTGGGTGAAGGCACCGAAGAGGCCTCGAGAACTGGGAGGAGCAATTTCCGAAATGTAGATAGGACCAACCACAATTGCAGCACCAGAACCAATTCCAGAGAGAAATCTACCAAGACTCAAGAGGGAAATTGCTGGTGCAAGTGTCTCCGCCACAGGCCCCAGAATAAAGAATATCGTGGTGACTCGTAATGCAAGTAGACGTCCATATTTGGTTGCGATGGGTCCTGCTAGCAGGGCTCCAAGTAAGCCACCGAGCGTGTAGATCGAAGAGACGAGGCCAAATTGCGATGGGGTCATAGGAAAGCATTGTGGAAGACTCGTGATTCCCGAAGAATGAATCCCTTGACGTTCACATGTTATCACAGATTTAGGGGCATTGAGCTCTGCCTAAGTAATGAACGTATTAGTGATGTTTAGTAGACATAGAGGGATGCTATCGTACCAGGTGGAAGCCAAATTGAAGCGGACCAAGCGTGACAATAAATACGAGATAGATCAAGTACGGTGTAACCCTCGACTGTGTTAATGTGCCCAAAACCATTGTGAGATAAATTTAGGCCAATCGATGCCCCGGGACAGGTTGAAGGTACGTTAGGGAGGGCCGGAGCCTAGGATGACGTTTTTTGCTGATTGTAGAGATACGATGATCTGAGGTCAAGTTGGTCAGACGGGAAGGTCTGCCTAGGTAGGCAAATGTAACATTAAATTTAGCACATAGAGTCCTTCACAATTCAGGGACTTGAACTAGTTGACTTGAAGAACATGTGAAGCTACAAGAAGTTGAAGCTGGATGGATCCGACATGTGATCTGACTAAGCGTTGACTCCGCTGAACTCATCGCATTGTACAACATACGGGGTACAATTCAGACGATACAGGCAATACATTAGAATATCTCTCGAATCCTTCGAATCCTTCTCTGTATTCAAACTGGAAATCGCGGAGAAGATATCTCCCCGCCAATGGAGTGACAACATCGCCGGCCCTTCTGATCCACAAATGAGTCTGACAAACCCGCCCTCTTCCTCCGGCTCTCTCTCGCGAACCAGAGTCGGTAACTTGAAACGGAGTCACCAGGCTACTGTCGATGGTAATTATATATCTTCTTTGAATCTGATTACTCGTGGCTTCTTGGTGTAACGGCTTGTCTCTTTCTATCTTTCCATCATGTTTGGAAAGGGTTTCCCTTTCTTGAATTCTGGAGGATTCTATTCTCGTGGTAACTCTTTCCCTTTGATTCTCTGTGATGATATTGTCTTTGTGATGCGAGTGTGCAAATTGGAAGGGATTCTCGCCTGGCATTCCATTCTCAATCCGGCAACCGGAATATGCTAACTGGGAGTTTATACAGATGCCATTGAATCAAGAAGACCCGGTGGGTATACCAGCAAAGTCCGGGTCCGAGATCGGTATAACATAGTAGGCTTTATCAGCAGTGGCACCTATGGCCGGGTGTACAAGGCCGTCGGGAAAAATGGCAAGAAAGGGGAGTTTGCAATCAAGAAGTAAAAACCCTCCAACATTTGATTTTTTTTTTCATTCTAACCTCATCCAGATTCAAGCCCGACAAGGAAGGCGAAACGATCCAGTACACAGGTTTGTCGCAGTCGGCTATCCGTGAAATGGCATTGTGCACTGAACTCTCACATGCCAATGTTGTCCAACTAGAAGAGATCATTCTGGAGGACAAATGCATCTTCATGGTATTTGAATATACAGAGCATGATTTGCTCCAGATCATTCATCATCACACCCAGCCTCAGCGACATGCCATTCCGGCGACTATGGTCCGGTCTATCATGTTCCAGTTGTTGAATGGATTGCTCTATCTTCATACCAATTGGGTCCTGCATCGTGATTTGAAACCAGCCAATATTCTCGTCACCTCAAGTGGCGCCATTCGCATCGGCGACTTGGGGCTAGCGCGCCTGTTCTATAAGCCACTCAACTCCCTGTTCTCGGGAGACAAGGTCGTCGTCACAATCTGGTACCGTGCACCCGAGCTGCTCATGGGGAGCCGGCACTATACTCCTGCCGTCGATATGTGGGCAATAGGATGCATCTTCGCCGAACTACTCTCGCTGCGACCAATCTTCAAAGGCGAAGAAGCCAAAATGGACAGCAAGAAAACAGTCCCTTTCCAACGTAACCAGATGATGAAGATTGTCGAAATCCTCGGTCTTCCCCGCAAAGAGTCCTGGCCGGGTCTAGCCTCCATGCCTGAATATTCCCAACTCCAGACCCTAGTGCTCCACCGCCAACCTTCACATTTCCATCGCGGCTCTAATCTTGAAGGCTGGTATCAGAGCTGTTTGAAGAACGGCGGATACACGTCCACCTCCAGTGCTGGCACTCCTGGCGCCGATGGATTCGATCTTCTGTCGCGTATGCTTGAATATGACCCAGCGAAGCGACTCACTGCCGAGCAGGCGCTTGAGCACCCGTACTTTACCAATGGTGGCCCTATCAGTGGTAACTGCTTCGAGGGTATCGAGGGCAAATACCCACACCGTCGGGTCACCCAAGATGACAATGATATTCGCACCGGTAGTCTTCCTGGCACCAAACGGAGTGGACTCCCAGATGATTCATTGATGAGGGCTTCCAAGCGCCTCAAGGAGTAGTCTTTTCATTCTTGCTGCATATCTGTTGATCATATTTTGCGGTGCGTGGACAGGCTGGCCATGATATCCACCCACATCATATATTTAATTCGGTATTGGCGTTATAACTCGGGGGGTTGCATCATGGCCATTTAGCCCGGAGGCTATGAGACCACTGTATTTGTACCATGAAGGTGGGTTGATCCCCAATTGAAGGAGTCATTCGAGCTCTGCTAGATAGTAATCATTTCAATTGCATACGATGCGCCGTTCGTACTCATACCTCCCACCATTGCCCAATTTCCCAATCCCATATTCGCTAAATATCGTACATGTTGAACCACCCCCGAAGACCCCCATATAGCACCCGATGATGATAACGCCGAAAGGATAAAAAGATTGCGAGAAAAAAAAAGATAATCAGTACCTTGCGACCAAAGCGAAGAGTCGGTTTCGGTGAATCAGACAAGAAATTGACAGTCAGTCATATGCCATGCTGCTCGTGTCACTTATCTCCGTGAGTATCATCCTTGCCGTCACCATTCACGGTAGAAGCGTGATGAGCGGCATCTTTGATGCCCTGCTCATCACCACGTAGCGCCTCGAAGTATCCCTTGATATCTTCCGCGCTGACAGCCTGTCCACTCTCAGCGAAGGGTTGCAGAAAGACCTTGAGTTTGTCACGCAGATGGTTGTATGCCATTGCACCTTCGATGGCGCGCACTCGATCCATGTTGTTTAGTGCTGCTTCGCCGCGGTCGTAGATGCTGCCAGTACCGACACTTGCGGTACCATCAGCCAGGCCGTCGTCGGACATCGGAGGCTCATAGGTATCTTCTTCTTCGCGAAGCTGGGGGTAGGGAATAAGCTTAGGGAAGCACTCTGCACAGCGACACAGCTGCCCATGGAAATCATCCAAGGCAAAAAGAGAGAATGATTCCACTGGAGTGGACTTCGGGAGCTCTGTGTGCTTGGGGGCGGATGGCTTTGTAGGAGTATCGTTTTCCTCCTTGGTAGGCTCCTCTTCCTTTGTGACATTCGATGGTTGTTCCTCGACATGAGCTTCTTCCTCTTTAATCCGCTTGGTGATAGGCTCTCCTTCGGTCGGACCCTCGTCGTCTGCCTTGCGCTTGTTTGAGTGTTCGATCTTCTCCTGATCCTTGTGTTCAGTCTCTTTGAGCTCAGTGGCGGGTACGGAGGGGTTTGGCTCAGTCATATTTAGCTCAGCCCCATTCGAGGCCTTTTTTAGTCCACCTTCTCGGAAAACTGGCGGCAAGAACCCAGGAGTGCCCGCATATGGTTTGATCCAGGGGTTAGAGTCGACGCATTTGAAGCAAATCAGATGGTCAAAATCATCCTCTGCGGGAAAGCCAGGTGGGGGCAGATCTTCTTCGCCCTCGGCTGAAGTGTCATTGGTGGCATCACCGCCACCGAGTCCGTTGGCCTTGAGGGCAGCCTTGTTCCAACCACGCGACAAGCCGATCAAACACTCCGGGTGCCACCAGTCCTCGCCACAGCCTCCAGTCTCGACGGTGCCAAGTCCTAGGCACTGGTACATTGTCCCCTTTTCTGAATCCGCATCGTACTGTTCGCCGCAGCCACAGAACTGATTGCGAAAGTTATGGTTATATGTGTTGCCTGCTGCAGCCTCTTGGGAGTGCACACCCTTTTTGCCGGTTGTGGGATCTTCACGGAGTGTGCAACAAGAAGATGATGGTAAACGGGTGGTTCCACAGTCGCAGACGAAGTTGCGCTTGTTGAAGAGCTCGACTAGGGTATGCTCGCCGTGACAAGCGATCGAGCACGAGTAACAGACGGCAGCGGCAGTGTAGGGTTCGTTGGGGCTGACAGGAGGAGGATTGCAGGTGAGACATGCAAAGAGTACCTGTCGCAATGGTCCAAGGTCATATGTGCAAGAGTCAAAGGCCTAAAGTCAATAAGTCAGCTGTTGAGATAAGTCAAACGCCGCGCCACCTGCTTTCTTGGGACACTGACATAAGGAAGAGCCTCGCGCGCATCTGCCTCTAGTTGGAGCTGGGATTCAATAAACCTAAAATCAATTAGTATATCACTTTCCTAGTGTGGGGGAGAGTATTGGGGAGACATACTCTTTCGCGGTCTGGGAATTCTGGGAGCCCATGCTCTCACTACGAGCATCTTCGGTGAGTTGAGCAACAACCGAGTGCGGGGCGTCCATGTTTGGGAATTGTATCAGCGTCCTTATCGTAGAAATTGACAAATAACGAAAGGCCTAAGTCCTAAGTGTCGAGGCGATATGTTGGATCACGACGCGACGTGATGGGTCGCGACGTAACTTAAAGTTTCTGCCGGCATTTTCCAACAAATGCAGGCGTTACCGCCCTACACCGCCCATGGGCTTATGTTTTCTCTACATAAGTGGAACAAGCACGCTAGATAGACATGCAGGTGCCGGTTTTAGCTGAGAATTTGTATACCGCTTTTGTACCAAACTGCATATGATAGTAGCTAAGACAGCAGATACCTGTGATTTGCTAAGGAAGCAGAGTGTATTCTATTCAAAATAACTAAGATTAGGAGAGAAAGAAGAAGCAAGTTGCACTACTCTTCTCATTGTCTCTCGGCGCAGAAATCTTACCTTGCTTTCGCTTTCTCGTCAAAGGGAGAAGAGAGCCCGGAGCCCTAGAGAGTAAGGCTGATTAACACTCATTTCTGCGGATAACAAATCGAGCCTCTTATTATCATTGTTCTCAATCTTGAAACGTCACACACGCAGCCAAAATATCCATTGCAGCTCTGCCCGTGGAATTAATCTCAAAGATATATAACCAGTTGGATTTCCAGCAATTGGTCGCTCTGAGATTATCATGCCGTACTTTGTACAAGAACTCACTGGAGAATTTCGCGGATACCTTTGCCGAAAAATCCGTTTCATTGTGATAAGCGAAATTCTCTATAAACTAGAAGAACTATCCAAGTCAAATGGTCTCTGTAAGTATATCTAAGAGCTATAGATAATACTAACTCTATTCAATGGTACTGAAAAGTCCCTTAGTATAGTATATATACTATCGAAAAGCTGCCGACAAGTTAATGGCAATAAGCTGGAAAGTCGGTATACTATCTATAAAGCTATACCTACAGACAATTCCAATCTACTAGAATCAGAAGCGTTTAGTATTCGACTTCGGGAATATAAGATCGATTTCAGAACCCCTAAACATTAGGACTCGCAGATTATAGAACGGAATTTTTGCTTAATCTATAGTAGTAGACAGTTCTATTCCTAGGAAGGCGATAGATAATAAGCCGGATTGATTTTTTGTTCGATGTTTATAGCCTATGAGCGTTTACCCATACTGGTCAGTGTAGCTAGATAAGGAAACTAAACTCCTTGGAATTATCGAAGCTTTTTCTTACACTATATGGCTCAAGCTGCAGACCCCGAAAGCTATATACCTACTATTCCAATTTCTGTGGTAATATCGGCCCCAGAATTGCCCTCTCCGAAGAACAATTTGACTCTCTACTCTCTACATTGAAAGGCCTAGAGGATCTACATTTATGTATTGATCTCAATGAGGCGGCTTGACTGAAATTTTTCACGAAGCTTGCACCTCAACTGGAAGGACTGATTTGTCGCAAGATCATATGCCTGCCCACCAGGCAAAAAGCTACGTTAGAAACATTTTAGGATAAAAATCATTTGCATTTATCTCAATAGCTTTGCAATAATTGTGCTTGCTTGTTAGATTGGATAGGCACAGAGATGGGTGGAGCGGAGGGGCGGTGGAACAGGCGGGATATCCCGCCCTGGGTATCCCGCAAATCTCACTTTGACCTTGATTGGTCAGCCATGGAGCAAGCCATAAGTCACTTACAAGACGAGAACCTTTGTACAGAATGTCTTGAATGAACATGGGCCTTCATGACATCTTGAGGAAGGCCCGGTCCCAGGAATGCTTGGGTCTATACCTGAGACATATACTAGACCGGCTACCAGACCGTTTGGAGGGAAATCTAGTATACTAGTATGCAGATCTTGACTTCAATCCTATACACATTACAGAGGACTCCGTAACTCCATGTGTATTGGAATTTTCAGGATATTCCAAGGTTAGCCCTTTGCATGTTCCCGCTCCCAATCTTTTACTCCATACTTGGTTTATAATGCTATTACTCACCTTGACACATAGCTCTACCCCAATTCAAGGAGCATTCCTGTAGGAAACTAAGACTATAGTTTCTTTATTTGCCCTATTTATTTGCCCTATCCAAAGACAAAAGTGTATTTTCTAAACCCGCTATCTGATGGTGACATACAAAGACAGGGATCATCCATGGATTTCTAATCCATCCAGTTTTTGTGCTCTGAGATCCCCACCCTTTTTTCCCCCCATGCATCTATATCATTTTTAATCTGCTCTTCTTGAGGGTGCTTTTTTTCTCCCAAGAGCGAAATATGACAGCCTACGAGTCTTCCGGAGCAATTGCGAGCGGGGAAGAGAAAGGGAACAATACCCAAACACCAAATGCGCCAGTGAGAGATACGTCAAATGCACCATTGCCCCCACCTCCAGATGGCGGATTTCATGCCTGGGCTCAGGTCGTTGCAGGACACTTGGTCGTAGCCCTGACTTGGGGCTACGCCTCCAGCTTCGGGGTGTTCCAAAATTATTATGAGTCTACGCTACCACAAGCCCCCTCCGATATTTCGTGGATCGGTGGATTCCAAGTCTTCTGTCTTTTGTTTATCTCAACGCTCTCCGGCCGCGCAACAGATGCTGGATTGGCAAGGCCGGTGGTAGCCCTAGGTGGGCTGCTGTTAGTTATCGGGACCTTTATGACGAGTCTGGCCACGGATTACTGGCAGATCTTTCTGGCTCAGGGACTTTGTATTGGCATCGGCCAGGGTCTCATGTGGCTGCCTACTGTGACATTGATCTCGACATACTTTGTCCGCTATCGGGTCTTTGCCGTCACAGCTGCTGCCACGGGAACAAGTACGGGGGGCATGATTTTCCCTGCAATGATCCAGTATCTTACCCCGAAGATCGGTAAGTCTATTTCAGCCGCACTGGTTTTCATAGCTAATCAGATAAATACATAATCAGGGTTTCCATGGGCTGTCAGGTGTATGGGATTTGTCGTGCTCATCATGGTCATAATCACCTTAGCACTTTTGCGTCCTCGACTACCACCACGCAAAGCGGGACCACTGATTGAATGGAGCGCTTTCAAGGAACCGGCCTACATGCTTTTTACCTTGGGGGTATTCCTTCTATACTGGACCCTTTATTTTGCCTTCTTCTACGTACGCTGCCAAATCCAAGATCTATAATTAATTGGGCTGACGGTTTTCCAGGTGCAAGTCTATGCGACTGAAAAGCTCAGATTGTCCCAAGAAGCCGGAGTGAATTTAATTATCGTCACCAACGCCCTTGGGATACCCATTCGCGCCCCTTGTGGCTATCTGGCCGATCGTTATATCGGGCCGCTCAACCTACTGATTCCTTGGGTAGCGCTGTGCGGCATTCTGATGTTCTGCTGGGCCGCCGTTCATACTGTGGCCGAGTTATATATCTTTGCTGTGTTTTATGGACTGGCATCGGCGGCCGCTATGGGCTTGTTCGCTGGCACTATTCCTTCATTGACCAAAGACCTGGACAAGATCGGCACTCGGGTCGGCATGTCGCTCTCTATGATAAGCTTCGGACCCTTGACCGGGCCATCCGTGGCGGGAGCGTTGATCGCGCGCACGGGAGGTGGCTATTTGGCTGGGCAAATATGGGCAGGATCAGCCTTGCTCGTGGGAGTATTGGCTCTTGGGGGAGCACGGGTCATAATATCCGGGCCACATCTCCGAGCAAAACTATGAGCTTTATATAACACTAGAAAGAGGGAAGACATTCAGAAATGAGATCAAGAAAGACATGAAAACAGAAAAAGGACTATTAAAAGAAAAAGACAAACACCAATTCGAACACTACTAGTACATGTAGGTATGTACTTGAGGCCGTTCCCGTGGTAGGTCCTTCCCTCTATAACCTTATTTCAAGTTGTTCTTCGTTCATCTCTCGCTAGCACCAATCACTTAGAAAGACATACCACTTCATCATGGAACAAACACATGAGCAGTTCATACATAGCACTTTCGACCATCTCGATACAACAGCCAAGGAGATTACGGCTGCTCTCACCCGTGGCAACTGTCGCCATGGCTTTATCGGTGGATACGCGGTGTCCCTTGTTGGTGGAATGAGGATGACAGATGTACGCCCTTTCAGTGTCTTCTCAACACTTGCACGATCACTCAAGCTAATTTGAACTACCTAGGACGTTGATATCCTCGTTGACGCAGACCCAGCCGATGTCCGAAACCTGCTGCTCCAGGTGCCCGGGTTCCAACTCTCCCAGAGCAATAACCTGGTTTTTACGCGCGATCAGGGTACGATTCGGGTTGAGATTCTTCGTGGCGGCAGAAATCGACCTTCGAGGCTACCCGATGCAAGTTCCGTTCCTCTTTACCATGTCTCCGCCAGCGACTTACCAGGACGCGTTGGCGATGTCCCGAGTTAGTGTCCTTTTGCCTTTGCACTTTATACTAGATTTCGAACTCTTACTAACCATCAGATTATAGTCCCTATTGTGCACCCCTCCGTTCTCGTGCTTACAAAGATCAAGAGATGGGCGTTTATTGCTGAATCCACCCGTCCCCAAAGTAACAGAAAGGCTCGCGGTGACTTTGAGGATATTACGGCGATCTTGAACTGGCTTGCTCGAAAGAATCTTCACATTTATTTCACGAACTACCCGGAGAAATCAAGGGACGATTTGCTTTCATGGGTTCGGAAGTTGTATGAACTACATACTACTGTTCGTGCCCTGCTTGAGATCACGATGGAGGCGCAGGACTTTGCACTTATTCGCAACTAGAGAGCTGTGAAATAGACCGACAGTCGCGGACGACACGTTCAGCAATGGTCAAATATTTCTCCTCCGTTGAGCCCCAATCCCTGGTTTTGATATTCCGAACTGCTTCTTCCACCCGTTTCTGGAAGTCTTCTTCGCTCTCATCGTCGACTTCATCGTTCTTAGTATTCAGAGGTGGGTCATGAAATATGTAAGAGGATATAAAACCAACAAGATCACTTTCCACATGATATCTGCTGCTGTCACCAATAGGGTGGTTGAGAAGATGGCGTATTAGTGATATCATGTACATTCGAGGCTTAGGTGTCAAGACCCTCAGCGTATGGTCAAAGGTAGATGTAACTTCTACGGTGTCTTGGAGAGTGAGGTCGAGAAGCGACAATGGGTACAGAAATATTCGGTGCGAACGAACTGGATCTAGACTGTGAACAAAGCCTGCTCGTTCCCATTGTCCATATATCGCAGTAGCCTCTGCGGATGGGGGAATACAAGGAATGCCCCGGTCTGATAGGGTCTGGGATGCGAGCGATAGCAGCGCATCGGGCACCGCCCATTCAACAAGCTAGGATTAGGAAGTCAGTAGAGCCCCACGACTAAATTGCTGGATAGGATATTTCATCTCTTACTCTAAGGATCAAAGGGTATCCACATCTGTACTGTATCTGTGATCCCCACTCTACAAGAGGGATATTTTTATCGACTAGAGCCTTCGCAGCCATTTCGGTGATATCCGCACGGATTTGTCGCGACGGTGTTTTGTCCTGGGGTAATGGATCCATGTTTTGATCAAGAACTTGATGTGGAAGGGATGGATCTTTGTATACATCGATGTATAAAGTGGATAAAGGGCAAACCGGTGTTGAGCGGTGAGCATGCTATAAACTTGGAAAGTGGTTGAATGCTCAATGGGCAGGCGGCCTGAAATTGAAAGGAACTAGTCATGAAATCAATCACACTTGCGACAGAATGTTCACTCCAACGACCGACTGGCCAAGTGGTTAAGGCGTCTGTCTTACATTTCATATGTTGGAGTTCACAGAAGGTCGCAGGTTCGATCCCTGCGTCGGTCATTGACTTTTTGCAAGTTCCAATTTTTGCTTTAGTCTAATGTGGTTTCTTTCTTTCTTTTTTTTGTTCTTATTAGTTACAGCGCTGTAAATTGTGCCATAGAAAATAAACCAGGAGCCCGTTGTGTAAAGATAGGGAACGTGGAAGGCCCACCTTCCTAATCGGGGCTTAATTGAAACGCGTCGCGTGTTGGACGCGACTCTCTGCACAACTCGACTTTGCCGCCCCTTCTCCCTCCCTTCATTCTATCAACCACGCTATCACACACTCGAGTAAAAAACCTCTGAAACATACATATACTTATCCATACTCATAATTTCCTGCCGTTCATCTTTTTTCTTTGAATTTTGCCAGCTGAAATACCCACACAATGGAGTGAGTGTGCCTCCTGAATTTTCTGCGCTCAAAAGCTAATGCACTACAGTCCGCTCCGAGCCAGCGATTCGGCCGCAAACCGTGGCCGGGGGGCCAACACTCGTAAGAGAGACAGAGAGGATGACATGTCCTCCCCGGCGCCATTGCCTCCTTCCAGTCGTATGTTTGCTTCTTTGTCCGGGCTGCGTCAAATTGAGACTGACGATGTTCATGTGCAGCCACTGCTTTGGGCTCATCCCCTCCTCCGATCCCCTTTGACATGGGAGATGAAGATGAGGATGAGGATAGAGGTCTAGTGCCAGATATTGATGACATTGACGAATTGGCTGAAGACGAGGACGGCATTGATCTGTTCGGTGACAACTTCGAGCGGGATTATCGAGATGCAGCGCAAGATCGCTATGAAAACGACGGATACATCGACGATGATGAAGACCATGATGAAATCGATGCCGCAACTCGTCGGCAGCTAGATGCCCGCCTAAACCAGAGAGACCGAGAACTAGCACGTCGGCGCCGCATGCCTGCCGCCTTTTTACAAGATGAGGACGATATGGAACTGGATCTGTCGCGCCAACCCCGGCGACGCAGACACCATTATGATGAGGATCGTGAAGATATTGACATGGCTGATGAGGGCATGGAAGAGCTGTCATTGGAGGAACTGGCAGATGTGAAGGCAGCCAACATTACAGACTGGGTGACACAGCCCCAGGTTCTTCGCTCCATCTATCGTGAATTCAAGGCCTTCCTGACAGAGTTCATCGACGCCGCTGGCCAGTCTGTTTACGGTAATCGAATCAAGACACTGGGTGAGGTGAACTCCGCTTCACTCGAAGTGTCGTACGCCCACCTCAGCGAGACCAAGGCAGCTTTGTCATACTTCCTCGCCAACGAACCCACCGAAGTCTTGAAGGTATTTGATCAGGTTGCGCTCGACGTTACGCTATTCCACTACCCACAATATCACGATATTCACAACGAAATCCACGTCCGCATCACTGATGTGCCGATCATTTACACCCTACGCCAGCTGCGCCAGTCGCATCTCAACTGTCTGATCCGTGTCAGTGGTGTTGTTACCCGTAGAACTGGTGTCTTCCCGCAATTGAAGTACGTCATGTTCCTCTGCAAGAAGTGCGGTATCACCTTGGGTCCGTTCCAGCAGGAAGCTAGTGCGGAGGTGAAGATCTCGTTCTGTCAGAACTGCCAGTCGCGTGGTCCCTTCACTGTCAATTCTGAAAAGACAGTCTACCGCAACTACCAGAAGTTGACCTTGCAGGAGTCGCCCGGCTCGGTTCCCGCAGGTCGTCTGCCGCGGCAGCGTGAGGTCGTTTTGCTTGCCGATCTAATCGATAGCGCTAAACCCGGTGATGAGATTGAGATTACCGGCGTCTACCGTAACAGCTACGATGCCCAACTGAACAACAAAAACGGCTTCCCGGTTTTCGCCACCGTAATTGAGGCCAACCATGTGGTCAAGGCACACGATCAGCTGGCTGGTTTCAATCTGACAGAAGAGGATGAGCGCGCAATCCGAGCCCTCTCCCGTGACCCCGATATTGTGGACAAGATTATTCGCTCTATGGCACCCAGTATTTACGGCCACCAGGATGTCAAGACTGCTGTTGCACTTTCACTCTTTGGTGGTGTTAGTAAAGAGGCCCAGGGCAAGATGCACATTCGTGGTGATATCAACGTTCTTCTTCTGGGTGATCCTGGTACCGCCAAGTCTCAAGTGCTCAAGTTTGTTGAGAAGACCGCCCACCGTGCTGTGTTTGCCACTGGTCAGGGTGCTAGTGCTGTTGGTCTCACGGCCAGTGTTCGCCGCGATCCTCTCACGAGCGAATGGACGTTGGAAGGTGGTGCGCTTGTGTTGGCTGATCGGGGTACTTGTCTTATCGATGAGTTTGACAAAATGAACGACCAGGATCGGACATCTATTCACGAAGCCATGGAACAGCAAACCATTTCTATCTCCAAGGCCGGTATTGTGACAACATTGCAGGCTCGCTGTGCTGTCGTGTCCGCGGCTAACCCCAAGGGTGGTCGGTACAACAGCTCTATCCCATTCTCCGAGAATGTCGACTTGACGGACCCTATCTTGTCTCGTTTCGATATTCTCTGTGTGGTGCGTGATTTGGTTGACCCTGCCGAGGATGAGCGCTTGGCCAACTTCGTGATTGAATCACACCACCGGTCCAACCCCGCTCGTCCCCTCCGGAACGAAAAGGGCGAGTTAGTTGATACCGACGGCAATCTTATTGACAACGAGGGTTACCGCATCAACCGAGATGGTCAGAGACTGCCTCCATCACAGGAGGAGATCGCCAAACGCGCAGCAGAGAAGCAAAGAGACGAAGAGGAGAAAGAGGGCGAGATCCCGCAGGAGCTCCTGCGGAAGTATATTATGTATGCCCGAGAGCGTTGCCACCCCAAGCTTTATCAGATCGATCAGGACAAGGTTGCCCGTCTCTTCGCAGACATGCGCCGCGAGTCCCTTGCCACCGGAGCGTACCCCATTACAGTAAGTCATCTCCCTACCGTCTATACAGTGACAATTTTCTTACTCCAATCTTCTAGGTTCGTCATCTTGAAGCGATCATGCGTATCGCAGAATCTTTCTGCAAGATGCGTCTGTCAGAGTACTGCTCCTCGCTAGATATTGACCGTGCCATCGCTGTTACTGTGGATTCGTTCATCGGCAGTCAAAAGGTCAGCTGCAAGAAGGCACTCTCTCGTGCATTTGCCAAGTATGTTTCTCTCCATCCTTGAATCTAGTGGAATCTTGTACTAATTTCTACTTTCAGATATACACTCTCCAGACCAAAGCCCCAGTCCAAGCGCCGTGCGGGCATCCCTGTCTCCAACCCTCACCTGCCGCGGGCTCAATCCATCGCCCAGTGAACGGCCTTCTAGAAGGCGGGTTGGGGCTTCCCCGTTGAATGGTTTCTTTTGTGTTTTATACCATCTTGTTTGCATCTTATGTGTGGCGTTTATGAAAGGGGACCCGTCCTCGAATTGGGCCATGACACGGTAATGAATACAAAATCAATGAATGATATTTCGAATTTGTATGTTGAGGTGGTAGCAGGCTGCGTACGCCCAAAACTACTCTACTTTATTGGGATGAATGGACCGTAGCGCATACGAAAATCCTAGGGCTGCTATGACACATAGCAGTAAATCCAACATGGTATTCCGATAACACAGGTAGGTTCAGATCTGACGTAGCCACATCCACCTTGAGATATCGCATTAAGGCGGCTAGGGTTGACCGATTCACTATTCAACCCGAACAAAACAGGTAGTTTCTACCTAATTCGTCTGCGTATGCAAGTCCAATGATATCTTAATTCAAGTTATGACCTCATCTTAGATCGCATTCCAAGCCGAAGAATGTTCGATATCTATGGAGTACCGAGTCCCGAATACTTCTCCGCATACTAGATAGATGTCGGCTAAACTGTCTGGAGAGGCTGGCATTATATTCGAAATGCAAGGTTTTATATGCAGATACAGCGAACTAGCATTCGAATCGGTCATATTCAGCCACCGCTCATTGGCCATAACTGATATCCCAACCTTTTTAGTGGTATCCACGGGGACTGCAAGTGAAGTTGCGTCCTTCTCCCTCGGCAGATGAGCTCATCACTTTGGATCTTTCTAGACTGCACGAGATCTGGAGATGCGGAAAGTAACAGAAGATATCATGTTGCATACACATTCCAGGAACAGAAGATGATATCAAGGTGGAATGGCAACGTCATTCCCCGGGGTGGGCTATTTTTGGTAGCCGAGGAATCTCCATCCCTTTATGTACAATGTACAAAGTACGTGCCTGATTAGCTGGGATGTCCCCAGATGTCCAGTCGAAGTCAATGTACAGAGTACATAGCAGTCAGTTCCTGAACTGTCACAACATGTCAAAGTGGAACCTTGGCGATGATTTGGTATTAGCCTCTACGGCTATAACGCCAGTCTGGGGATTCGGCAGAGCGAGAAAAAGTTAACACAAGCCCGAACGGCATAGCATAAAAACATGAACACATATAATGTAAAGAAAGAAATAGAAAGATCGACAGGGCCAAGTGAAAGAGGATGATTTCCCCAAGGAGACGATCACTGGGCAATTTACGTATGCTCGCCTCTCCCGTGTTCCCTAATCCCCTTGCCCCCCCTCCTTTCTCCCTTAGACTTCTTTTTCTTTCTTTCACTTTGATTCTGTTATACCTTCTCGCTTATTGAATGTTGAACTTGACCTGTGGTAGTCCATACTATCTTACCCCTGATTATCACTGTTTCAGCACTACCTCCTGCCACTTTCTTCCGCATTCGTGCGACACCTAACGCGGCATCTCATTGCACGCAAACGGCCTCTCCACCCACACCTTGTTTCAGAGGCGAAATATCCTTCACAATGAATGCCACTCCAGCGTTTGGATATGCGCCTGGCGTGTCGCTGGCCCCGCAGGGTACGTAACCAGAAGCTTGACCTCCCCTAAATCATAGGATATCAGACGTTACCGCTGGGGGTAGTTTGAACCCCCCTCCCCTGATCCATAAATGACACCTTCCCTTGACTTTCTGGTCTTCTATCTTTTTCAGACCTGTGACTGATTCAAAACGTCTCTGCGACCAACAGAATACCAAGATTCTCCAACAGCGGCCAGTTTTGGCTCCAATAACCCCTTCCGGAACCGCGCTCTTTCGCCTGGATCCATTTCATCGATCAACCGTCCGGAACGCCCACGCTCTACAAACCCATTCTTAGACGACGCTGAGGGTATACCTCTGCAGCCGACCCCTGGCGTGTCGACTAGTGCCAATATGTTCTCTCCAATTGAGAAGAATGATATGTCGTCCAACACTCGGGAGCTCTTTGTATGTTTCGGAATCTTGAACCTACATACTCAAATCTGGTCTAACCTCTTAATAGGAATCCCTCTCCCTCAAGCCTGCCCCCCAGATAAATCTTCCTCGGCCTGCGGCGTCTGACGCCACCCAACGCACTCCCTCGAATCGCACCAAACCCTCAAGGGAGCGCCCGGAGCGTCCAGCAGGACGACCGGCGGTGTCAAAACAGAAAGATCTGCTCGACATATTCGCCGACCCCCCTGCTTTGTCCCAAACCTCCAAGGACAAGGCGCCCCGTCGTGCTCGGCGGAACTCGGAGTCTTCGGTAATGGATCGAGGTTCGCTGTTGGACCTTGATGACGACGACGACAAGCGCCGACGTGAACGGCGTCGCGAGCGTGAGAGTCGCAGCAAAGATGGCAAATCGCGCTCGGGCCGCAAGGATCGACGACTTGATATCATTGATAAGTTGGATGTGACGAGTATTTACGGTACCGGAAGTAAGTATCACGGTTTTTTCAGTATACGGCTCATGCTAACTGCAATAATAGTGTTCCACCACGATGGTCCGTTTGATGCCTGCAACCCTCATCGCAATCGCCGCGGCGTGCGTACCGCGCCAATGCAAGCTTTCCCCAAGGGTTCCAGCAACATGGCTCTGGGCGGCGCAGGGCCCAACAACTCTAACATCGATCTTGACCTTTTCCATGGCAGGATGGAGGAGGGACACACCGACTTCTCGACCGCTGCGAGCCGCAACGCTGAGACGGCTGTCATGGATCCCACTGCCCGAGTAGACCCGATTCATGGGCCGCAGAGTATGGGACTGGGAACCAGCACCTTCCTCGATGGAGCTCCGGCTAGTCGGTCTGCCATTTCACGCCATCAGACTGAGAATGAAAACGGTATGGGACCGAATGGTGGCCTTGCACGGAAGAAGAGTTTGGCTCAGCGACTACGTGGACGAGGTGCTCCTGGTCGCATTGCTTATCCAAACGACAACTACCCCCCTGCGCCACAGGTGAGCTCCAGCCATTCTGGAACCTCCCGGGGTTATGAAAGAAACCCCTACTTCCAAGAAGACGAATATGAGGAAGAGTGGGACAAAAAGGGATCGAGTATCGAAGCTCGCCTCGAGGGCGGCCGAGTTCGATCGTCCAGCAGTCCTAAGCAAATGGAGCACAAGATCATCAGCGAGCGACCTTACGAAGAGTCGAGGCTAAACACTGCTGGTGGTGGTGGTGGGTTCTTGAACCGGATGAAGAGTCTGCGCAAACCCAAGCCGGAAAGACGGACTAGCGACTAGGTCACCTAGCAGTCACACATTGAGCCTGTCCCGGAAATATACGATGTAGCAAGCGGGCCTTTCTCACTCGGGTGCACCTCCGGGATGTGTCAAATCCATGATTCCCTCACTATCTCACCATCCAACTCCTCAATGGGGAGGGATGGTTCCACACGTTAATACCCAGCATCAAGCACCGATGAACGCACGGCGCCTAACATGGCGTTCGTATCTTTCGGAAGAGAGTGCTTCCAAGTGCTTCTGATTCTAGACCGCCATGAAACACAATGCCCTGATCTTAAGATAAGACCATGGCTATGATCGGAGTTTTTTCCAAGGTTTTTTTCTTTCTTGTATCTCAGCTTCAGTCTTGCTTTCAGAGACATGTATTTTTTTACCGATTGCTGTTTTCCATGTCAGTTTGAAAAGGATATGATAATTGAACTCGTTGGTTCCAACATGGTTTCATCCCTGATCTCTATCTGTAGAAGTATTAGACTGAACATGTCATTAATGACTCTGCCACGCCTTCGTTAGATTTTACAAGTACAGTGACACAGCAAATGTTTTAGCTGGCTAGAGTTTACTGGAATTTTATACTCCGTATTCCGTATGTTGGATGGCAACGAATATTCAGTTCTGGAGTTTCCTTGGACGCACTGACCTTCAAGCTAAGCGCCGTGCATATTTTTCGTGAGATATAGCTTTTGCCTATTAGAAGACAATACATTGTTCTCTATAGATATCATCTCAAACGGGGCCTCGTTTCAACGCAAGGCCTCATGACCACTTGGATCGCTAACGATAGAAACCGATGATAATGTAACTTCGAGTTTGTATATCCAAGATATATATCAGTTTAGAGTAATGATGATTCCGAAGATATTTAAGAAGTATCATTTGCCATATAAACCTGTCTCTATCATCTCCAAATCTCTCCATCATTGAACTCTCTATCCTTCCAAAATCGCACACATATACCACCATGGGTCAATCTTCATCGAGGTACCTCAACGTATACATTGTATACACCCTATGCACTCCTTCCGGGCACCCGACCCGCTCAGCCCTCTTCGTTAGTGAGGAGGGATCTTCTACTGGCGACCACTACTACCTCGCCGACGATGCCGTCTGGGGGTATTGCTACAATCGTGAACGAGTGACATACTCGACCCAACACCCGAAATTCAAGGGTACTGAGTTGGTGTTCACGGGCACCACACGTCTTCGAAGATATCCTAAGAGCTGGGACTCTCTGCTGTGCAACTTGCCTGCTGAGCGACTGAGCGGGAAACAAATGGTGGCTATGTCTCGTGAGAAGGCGGAGGATTTGCTTTGCCATGAGGCTTTGACTTTGTTGAGAATAAATATATCTTGATGTGCCTCTTCACGCCATTGATATAATGGCCTGGTTTGGTTGGGTGGACTGGTGAAACTGGTCTGTTGGTTCTGTTGGTTCCATTGGTCCTGGCGTTCTGTTGTTCTGTTGTTCTGTTGTTCCGTGATCTATATAGTCCTTGTTATTGAATCTATTGGTATTTATAGGCTTACAGGTTGGCTTCTATAGATATAGTAATATTAAAGCCATAGTATAGGCTTGGGGAACTGAAACTGACTTCAAACAATGGAGAGGCGCCTTTGTGATTTCTTTGGAAAAGAGAAACAGAAATAGAAATAAGAATAAAACAGACAAAGAGTATTTAAGAGTCAGCGTTCGCCGTGTAAATCTACCTCCATATCATCCCCAAGTCTACTCCTCGAGCTCTCTATATCTTTCTGCAAAGACAAACCCTCGAAGCAACTTTTTCTACTATGAACAATACCACGAAGAGTATCACCGACACCATGGTCAACGTCACTTTGGCGGAGCCCCAAAGACACAAAGTCTACATTGTCAAATACAACTTCGCCTCCTCTCCCCCAGAAGGCGACTCGGCCATCTTTGTCAAGACCAACGAAGAGGTCGGCCACATTCACTTCATTGCCTCTAAAGATGCCGGCGCCCACTTATACCACGACCGTGTGAGCGTCAGGGCGCATGAAGTCACGGAAATAGGAGAAAGCCTGATGCTAATAGGCACTACCCTTATCAAGAACTACCCCGGTAGTTGGGATGAGGCGCTGCGGGTAATCGAGGAGAACCAGCAGTATGTGACACCTGCAACTTCCTTGGCTTTGTCAGGCTCTGCCCAAGCTAGGATGAGGCGTTTGAGGGTCTCTCGCTGGACTCAGGAGTGTGCTAGGCCAGCGTTGGAGAAGGCTGGGCTTTTGGAGAAGTTGGAATGAGCTCGAAGGGGATTGAGGAGGGGGGAAGAAGAAGAGTATATGGTTTGAGGATATGGACCAAGAGCAGACGAGGAAATAGTGCAGTTGATATAGGAATTCTATGAGAGCTAAAGTTGGAAATGTACCGAGTAGTACTTCGATGTTTGTATACTTTTTACTTCAATGGACGCTATCGTTTTCCGTAACACCCTCACTTTGAAGCTCTCCAGCTTCTGCCATTTCAATCCTCCGAGGTTCTCTATCAGATTCACCATGGAGGATCGACCAAACCTGACCAACCCGCGTTTTACTCTCGAACTTGAATTTGTCTCGTCCCTCGCCAACCCTTACTATTTGTCACACTTGGCAGTCACTTATCCCAATCTCCTGGGTATCGCTCGTGCCGACGATGACGATGACTCCCCCTCGCCAGACGCGCAGGCATTTGCAGCCTACCTAGCCTACCTCTACTCCTACTGGAAGACACCGGAGTACTCTCAGTTCCTCACCCACCCTGGTCCCACACTGCGAGCGCTTCGACTGCTCCAGGAGGAGAACTTCCGCCGTGACATTATTCTACCCCAGGTCATTGAAGGTCTGGCAGGGGTCAGTGTCCCTGAACCAGCCCAGGCCGAAACCGACACGGCAGATGAAAAGCAGGAAGATGTCCAAAATGGGAAGACATGATGCGTTTGAATTCCGATCCTACGATCGCTGCGACCGAGATGTCATACGAACACACCGCGCCCTGACATTTTTAAGTCGAACAAGAAATTCAAACTCTGGTGATTTCATTTCCACCGAGCCCCCCTTTGGCGGAGTTGAGCATGGGAGTTTGGTGAACGTGCTGTGCGACCGAGGATTCTCAGGCCCCCGAGGTTTCGGAGTTATCAATCGAACTCCCAGTGAACTCCGATTTTTCAAGTGCCCCATTTGCTCTGACGACAGTGGCAGAGAATTGCGGGGGAAAAGACTAAGCGGCGTTGGAGATGACCGACAATATATCTCCGAGCTGAAGACGCTATGTCATTTTGGGGTTATCGCCACACTCTCCTAATAATGAAGGGGATAGCAATTGGAATTAACAATATTATCTTGATGCGCAATTCTTCCGAAACACGAAAACAATATGAAAAAGATAAACCCTAGGACCTTCTATGTATACGTAAGACTAGACAGGAGTGGACGAACAGGTAGAATATAGAATACGCCCGATGATCCCGGAGCCCAATCTTGTTTTAATTTTTTCTTCTATCATCTCCCCTTTCCAACTTCCATTCCTTTCAAATCAGTACATTTTGAAGATTTCTGTGCCTTTTCAGACTCGTTACGACAGAGCCCCGCCCCCTGGTAATCGGCCCTGAACTATTCCGTGCACAAGTACCTCATCAACCCCGTTGTCATCTACATACTCCGTACGTTGCGCCGGTTCGAACATTCCAACGTCTCTCCCATGGACCTTAACTAATACTCTCTCAGGCACTCTCGCTTGTCTCTAATTCATCTTTCACCTCGAATACTACCAAGTTCCCCTCTTTCGTGGAACCCCCGCCTGGAACTGCATGTGACACTGCGTTTCCAATGGAATCTGTTCGCCAGTCTTGCCGGCCAAAGCACCAGGTCTTGACCTTGAAATGTTATCCTAAATACCAGAAGGGAGTGTCGGAGGTTCGGCCGAACTCCAGCGAACTCTCATACCTGCTATACTATACGAGCACGCGCCGCAGCAAGTTGACCAAGGTCTGCGGTTTTCTGGAGAAGAGGGTTGCCCGAGATGTCTGGAGACGCAGAATAGGGTGAGCGCAGACTCTGATCGCCCGAGTAATCGGACTCGGACAAGACGAATGACTGACCGATTTCGTTACAGAAATGTTCAGGTGGCGCTGCATATCCTAGCTGCAATCATCGAAAAAGTTCCTCGCGACCTTCCTATCTACGCCCGATCCGTCATGACAGTAATCGATACCATTCTGCGATCCAACGATATAAATATGGTGGAGGAATCGATTGTGACCTTCGAAATGTTCTGCCGATATCAGGACATTGCGGCCATCGCGGCTGACCAGAGCCTTGCACATCAATACCGAGAAGTTGTGCGAACTTACACCGGCCTTGCCGACCCGGGATTTACATCAAATGCGAACACAGATTTCAGCCCGCAGGTGGCTATCCGGTGGAGAAATGCGGGATTGCGCGCTATTAGAGCGGTGGTCAGCTCAGAGACCTTGACCGCCGATGGAGGAACATTGCTGAAGCTCTGTTTGCCGGTTATACTGAAGAACCTCTATTCTGAAGATGAGAATCTTCTCATAACACTGAAAGAAAAGCTATCCGAAACCGAGGCAAATGAACGCGAGCCGCCCAAACCCCGCCGAATGAGTGTCAACACGGTGCACACAGTGGACGTGGCAGAAGGTGACCCCGAGCTGGCAGCGCAGTCGGCCGCTGAGGCGGATCGAAAGGCGGAAATGGATGCACGGGTCTTGGCCCTGCGCTGTCTTGAGCAGACTATCGCCTCGGGGAGTAACCGGGGCCAGATCCGTATTGTAGTAACGGTCATTCTACAGTTCATTTCGAGAAAGGGCTTCCCGCAGAGCGAAAAGCGCGGCGAGATTACCGAGGGCAAATGTGGCAACTGGGCAACATCTCTGATCGACCTCATTGCGAACTGGTGCCCGGTGCAAGTTCGTTTTATCATCTTGATCACAGCTATGGAGATTCTCCATGATACAACCCCAAAGGAGGATGCATTACAGTCATCATTCACCATTCTCTCTGTGGTGGATTCGCTTCTCAAATCGTCTGTGAACATGATTGGACTCAGTGTCATGGATGTCCTCTATGGACTCATGCACTACGCTTCTGAGATACTGTCACCGTCAGAGCGTACTGGCTCTGCAGACGGAGAGAAGAAAAATCGACAAGCTGAAATCGTGGTTCAAATCTCTCCCCAACGACAGGATCTTCTTACGCTACTGGAACAGTCTATTGGAGATCTTGCAACACACATATACTACGGAGACCAAGTCGAAGACATGATGCGGGCCATTCTCAGGCGCTTTAAGCCTCATCTCCACCATGATAGTTCCTCGCCATCCACATTGGCAACCGTTCAGGAATCCGGAGTGACACATGAGGCGACAAGTGACGAACCAGAGACAAATGGAGACAAAGCAAGCACAGAAACCTTCTCGCATGCTGCCGCTAAACTGACTGCTCTCCGAGCCGTCAAGGCCATCTTGGTTGTGGCCAATTCAAAAACGCTAGCAACCATGTCTGGTGTAGAATCTAGACATTCAGTCGGGATCCATGTGTGGGAAGGAACCCAAGTACTTCTTCGTGATGTGGATCGTGATGTTCGCTATGCCTATTCCGATGCATTCTTATCATGGCTGCAGATTGAGACCAATGGGAACGACCTCAAGGTGCGATTAGATTCACCCAAGTACATCAAGACTCCCAAGAAAGACACCGAGCAGATGGATAGGCCGACTCGACGAGGTTCGTCGGTCCCTGCGACCCAGAGGGACAAAGTGGCGCTGGTGGCACAGTCGAACTTCCTCCGCCTTCTGCACCTGGCTATCTACGATGCTGCAATCGAGGCAGCGACCGAGGAAGCCGAGATCCTCCTGCTGCACCTACTTCTTGCAAATCTTGTCGAGAACCTCGGGGTGAATGCCGCTCAATTCGGTGTCCCTATGGTCTTTAAATTGCAAGACGACTTGTTTACATCTATGGATTTGAGTTCCTTCGCAGCTCGCGTTAACATTGGCAGCTTGGTACACGGATACCTTCTTGCGCTGTCTCAGCATTTCGACATCCAGTCCTCCCCCGTGGGCCAGGAGATAAGTAATGAGATTCAGCAGCGACAGGCCAAGGGATACTGGCTTTCTAAAATCCGCCTACCCCCAGTCGATCTTCATGCCATTGTTTTTGACAGCGAGAAGAGGTCTGACAATGACTCCACCTCCCCACCCCTATTGACACCATTCTGCAACGTCGAAGGACTTGTCTATATGATTGAGGAGTCTTATTGCAAATTGGTATCTTCTCCTCCAGAAAGCCCCTCCTCGGCTTCTTCCCCAGCACGAGGATTCACGTTCCCGGTACTTGGCTCCACAGCAACAGTCAAATCCCAGGTTGAGAGCCACCTCCCGTCCGTCGTGAAGGAACAGATGTTGTCTCCGTGGTCTCGCGAGGCATGTTTGGCAGCTGTCGATAAGGAAAGCACTGGAACACCATCGGTATCTGGCTCTCGAGCTACTACAAATCCCCGCTACAACCAAACCAACATGGCTACGAATGGCTCACCCGCCGGCTCCCAATATAACCGCCGCATGAGCATTCCAGAGATCTCAGGCTCGTCATCCAACAGTTCAAGCAGGAGCTCGCCTGTTCGCGTCAATGAGCTTCGACGCGTGCTTTCGGTTACTAGCGACTCCCATGATCGACGCCTCAGTCCGCTACGTGGACGACTTGACGCATCGAATGACAGTTCCGTTTCTTCCGGGAGCGAAAGCATGATGAGCGGCAACTTCTCTGTTTCCGAGATAGATGGAGATGCTACCTCAATCCGACCAGAGAGCCAACGAACACCCGATGACGATGGACTGGAGACACCCCGCGCCACGCCTGCGGCATTTTTCCTATCAGGCGATAAAGCCGAAGACATCCCTCCCGTGCCACCGGTCCCAACTGGCTTGTCGATCCCAGGTGGCTTCCCGAATGACTCACAGCGCTCGCTGGCCTCATATGATCGTCCATTCACCGCACCAGCCCCATCGGGACCTCCAGCGAGAGACAGGGCTGATGCCAATGCCTTAAACTACAAGCCTCTAAACCGCAACAAGAGCCGGTCCAACCACAGCCTTGCCACATCTGGGATTCCCGAACTCTTAACCGACTATGAGACCAATGACCTAAATGGCAACCACCAAGATCAACTACGGAAGCTCTTGGATGGGTTCCTCTCGCCAAACGAGAATAAGCTGACGAATGGATCCCGCCCGGCAACTGCCATATCTGCCTCCAAGGCTCTGCCGAGCAGATCTAGCAGCACACGACGCAGTGGAGGCCTTGGTCGGCCACCTTATTGATTTTCTTTGTTTGATTCATACCTCATCATTCTGCGGGCATCTCCACAGCTGTTTCCATTCCATGGCCCTTCATATGTCTATATAATTTTCTTTCTGTTAGGGTCTTTTTTTCTCACCCGCCTGCCTCGCCCTCCCTTGTTTTTCATGTTTTGATTTGCCGGTCGCGGTTTTACAGCGGTTTGCGATACGCATGTCCTTTTTGTTTTGTCGGTTATTTTACTTCGGCTCGGTGCCCATCATTGTCTTTTTCTTTTTCATTTGCATATTTTTTTTTGAACGCTTGGACTCTTGTTTCTTGTCTGTCGGCACGCACATCTTCTTTTCCTTTGTTAGCTTGCGATGAGTAGTCGCAGCGTTGTGTAACTAGCTACATTGTCAATAGACATAAAATAGACGGTGCTAGAACGAACATGGCAAGAAATGGTAGTTCTATAAATGTAACCAACCAGCCATACGGCGTTGGATTGGACTTCGAATTTGAGGCTAGTATCCAAAATATGAAGCACACGCAGTTGGGATATCGTACAATAAAAGCAAACGCCCAAAAGAGAATGATCAGAACACGGGCTGCACAACTAGACCCGGCGAAGGACGCGACTTCTCCAGCGGACCAAAGTACTGAGTGAAAGCCTTGCGCAGCGTCTTTTCAGACAGATCCATATGCTCTCCAGGGGCAGTATTGAAGTCCAGCTTCCCCTGCTCATCCAGCTGCTTCAGCCCGACCCAATCCTCCTTATAGATCGGCCTCTCGCGCAGAGCCGTCACCTCACCAGTAGTAGCATTAACCTCCGAGAACAAAGCACTCTCCTTCGGAACAGCAACCGTATCATCCTCAAACATAAACATGGCAAACCGATTCAGCGCCGCCAGATTCTTCTTATACGTCTCGTTCTTGACCGCCCGCTCGTTGTTGATATCCGCCAGAAAATTGCTGTGCTCGAGGTACGAATCCAGGTCTTCCGGATCGCGGAAGTACTGCGCCGGCACGACGCGCGACTGCGCAAAGCTCGTCCACCGTCCCGACCGCAGGAGCTGCTCCGCGCCCTTGCAGAACCAATTGTCGTAGGCGCACGACTCGAACGCCGAGATGCCGTTGTGCTGGCTGCCGAATGTGACGAGGTTGTGCACGGGCGGCGTGTTGCACCGCTCGATGTACCCGCGGAGGAATTGGCCGCCCTGTGAGAAGCCTAGTGCGTTGACGGCGGGCGCTGTGCTGAGGATTGGGTCTGTGGCGAGCTGCTCGCAGACTAGCGCGATTTGCTCTGTTACGTTGCCGAAAAAGGCTGCGGAGCGGTCGCCGCTGCCGTCGTTGGCTAGGCGGATGAGGTGCACGTAGGTGCCGGGGTTGGTGGCTTCGGCTAGATTGGCAACTTCGGCCAGCCCTTCGCGTTCGAAGTCATCGCCTAGACCGTGCCAGATCACGAGCGGGAGTTGGGTTCCGCTGGTTGTATCTGGGGCGGATTGCCACGGGAGCGCGATTGAGAGTGCGTTGGTGGCCAGTGCGGCCAACAGTGTGATAGAACGCATTATTGAACGATAGAACTGGTAATCTTGGTATCTTCGCGCCGTTGATAATTGGAGATGGTTGTGGAGACGGAAATGACGTTGCTTCGGGAGGCAGCTACCAATCATGTGACGACCGAATACGGCAATTTAGACCTATAGGAACGGAAAACCGGTGCAACTTACGATGTACAGGAGCATGGGCATTTACGGCGTGCATGTAGAATGGCCTAGGCAGTGGATTTGGTTGGGTCAAGGATCTTATTGGTCTATTCATTCATTTGTTGGTTGGTTGGTTGGTTGGTATGGGACTATGTAATCGTTTTCCTTCTAGGTCAGGCGATATTGCTGACCTCGGAAAATCCAACGGCACTTCCATGATACTGTTGGCCTACGATTTGACTAGCAGGCCGCCCCCGGGAAGACAGGGTTCACAAGGAGTGAGAAGCATGTGCTTCCCCAACACCTATCTGATATATCCGAGAACATGTGTCATTCATCTGACTTGCATGAAAACGAGCATCGACGTTATAGCCTGCTCGGCATAGCCCCGCGCTGAGGGAATTGCGAACGGGGATAGAGATTGGTAATCCAAGTAGCTGTCAGATTCTCTTTGCCCATGTCCTGTTCCGTAACAGGAGATTCTTCATGGTCAAGGAGCATTGACTGGGATGACATGCTGTTCATGACCACCCCCGAGCTGCCGTTGGATTGCGCCACTGGCCGTCCATCTATCTCAAACTGGATGTCTTCTTCAATGGTATCAATCACCGAGGATGGATTTCTGCCTCTTCGTTGGGATCTCGGCCGTTCAAAAAAGGCAGACCCGTTGTTGTTAGCTGCTACCCGTCGATTTCTGTTCTTGTCGTTTAGCTTTCGTCGCTTCCCAAAGCGCTCGACATCCCCGACAGATGTAAATGCAAGGTCGAGTGGACGTGCAGCAGACACGGCTGCCACATCAGGTTCTTTTAGCAGTTGGCGCTTGACCCCGGTCAAGCCACTATCACCATGGCCACTATCACCATGGGAGGTCTGACCAGTCAAATGTGAGTCCGACTCTTCCGGAACTCTAGAATCAGCACGATCACAGGTTAGCACGAGTACGCCCACACGGATTGACGGAAGCAAAGCCAAAGCAACCAACAGTTCTTGACTGACTGATTTTCATTTGTCTCTGCCCCCTCATCCTCCCTAGTGCTCGAGCCCTTGAATTCATCAGGGAAGTTTCGAAATGGCGAAGGCGGGGAAATGACCGTGCCCTTTTGGAGTCTCGACCTAGCGAAATTCTGCTTCTGAGCTTTGGTCAACAGGCCTGAGCGAGTGTGATGACGCTGCAGCTGGCCGCCTGTCCAATTCATGATGCCGAGGAATGCAATGTGGAGAGTGGATAAGGCCTCCGTTGTCAGATGGGGTGGATGTTTGCTCCAAATCGAGACAAACAGTGTAAACAATACAAATGTACACGTATCACGTGATCTGACCACCTACAAAAAACTTTTCTTCTTTTCTTTTCCCTTTTCTCCGTCAATCACAGTCCAGACTGCCCTCACGGCCCTCGACGACCTGTGATGACTTGGTGTTTCATGCCAACTCATCCTTCTTCCGACAAATCCCGCTAACAGGTAAGCCTATCATTATTTTTTGATTTTGCACTCTTTTACTGCCTCCCAAGGGCATTTGCCTTTCGTGATGAACAACCAATATTAAAGCATAGTTCACCTGAGATCTTCGGATTGCTGAACGAAAACATATTCCATTTTTACTTTTCTGATCCTGTCAACCTTGTCTATCTTTTTCTCATACTTCTTTCGAACTTGGCTGACTGAACAAAGACCCGAAAATAGGAGAAAAGTGACTGCATTGCTGCCCAACGTGGGTCTGGTAGACTGGCTCGCCCCGTGCCGTCGTCCAGTAATCTTAGTTTTATTGATTGGAATAATTTACATTTACCATTTATTTCTTGCTTCACTGCTCTCCGTATACCCCGTGTACTCCGTGCGTATGTTGTACTATTTCGAGTCGCAACCGCTGTACAAGCATGCTGCAGGTATACTTCCCGTGGCCCTCTGACGTGGGATCCTCTCCTCCATACGATCCCCCTGAAGTGAAACAGGAGTTGGACATCTCATCGAACACGCGAGCGAACCTGCCGATCCCTCAACTCGGACTTCGTCTTACACCGTCATCCTTCGGCCGTCACCAATCATACTTCTCGCCAAGCACTAAGACGCCGAGCCCGTCTCACCGCTAGTAGATATCCCTCCACTCAGTCAACCGAGCCACCCCCCCTATCTGCACATGCCATCACCGCCAGTCGACAGCACTGGCCTTGACGGTGCCAACAGCGCACTCGTCTCCTGCATGATGCGAGACTGGCACACGCCATGTTTTATGGCCCACAGACCCTCTCAAGTCCGAGCTTTCATTTTTTTGTGTGCTAAAAACCCGCTGATCCCCTCCTCCATTCTGTTTCTTCTTCTTCCTTCCTTAACTCTGAGTACCCCTTTCTACAACCACCACCATCACCACCTTGACTACCTTGATTACCTTGTGTATCATTCTTATATATACTCCTCTTCAACAACTCAGTCCCTGGACCAAGGACAACTTCTTTCTTAACCTAAGACTCCCTGGTTTTTGATCCAATCACTGCCACAAGGATTTTCTCTCTGCCACATACTTCCCGGACAGGATTTGTTTTCTTGTTATCTCCCAGGCTTCTCTTTAGTCTGCCACTTCTCGACAAACACAATAGGTAGCTCCCGTCACTTTTTCTTTTCAATTGGTTCTCCTATGCGTTGTTTTTTTTTTATCTGCTTTGTCTGGACCTGTACCTGTCAGCCGTGCTTGCCAAAGGATGCCGACAACCTATTGCCCAGGACCCAAGGACCTTAAACCTACCACACCCGGACTTGTTTTTTTTTGCCAATTTTGGCGACCATTGAGGAACCACTGCCCAGGATACTTGCCTACCTGCCTTCAGCACCTGCTGAGTGAATCTCTTTGAGATGTGTTTAATGTTGCACTCTCAAATCGCCTGATTTCCACTACCACCGGACTACTGCCAATGGATGTTTCTGCTTTTCACATTGCCTCTGCTCTAAGACCGGAGTTTGAGTGCGGATTTTGATATACCCTGGACCCCACTGCCTCTGGAAACAACACTGGAATGAACCACTTAATGACTTGATGACTCTTTGCCTGGATATCCGATACTACTATGGCCACCGTCTCTCAACAATAATGGAACCACTTTGACCCCAAGGAATCAACCAAGGAATCTTTCAAGCTAATGTGCTTGCTCCCTGACACTTATGGTCTTTCGAAGCATCCGCTTTAGAATTCTGCTTAGGCCGTTGCTCTATGGAACCTGGCCGTTGTGTACCTATCTGACCTGGCCAAAAATGAACGACTTTTCTTTTGCTTACCTGGACTCACCTGGATGATGATGCTTCAACCAAATAGTAACACCGGCCATGAAAATGTTTCTCGCCCTGGCACCACATAGCCCTCCCTTGGATTGACAACAGACCTGGACCCGAACATAGACACGACACATTGACCAGGACCTTACGATAATCCCTGGTCGGCCAAGGAAATCTCAATCCCATACAAACGACTTCGGTGCGTATAACTAAATCGTGACGCGGCCTAGTCTCTTTACTGACTCTCACTAGGTATCCCGTCGCTTCTGGACCATGGAGCTGTTGTTTTTTGTTCATTTTTGTTCTGTTTTTTTGCTTTTTATTTCATTCGATGAGGAGTAGTAGATACTAACTCCTGGTTTACAGTGTTTTTCCCTCACACATCCACACACACAATGTCTCCAAGGAACACCAGCGACTCTGATCGTGTCTCTATCTCACAGTCCATGCATACCTCCATGGTTTCAGGAATCTCAAATATGGCCTCGAGATCAATCCAGGATGATGAAATTTCGAGCCATGACAGCTCCTCGTTGTGCTCAAGTATCCGTACAGCCCATGGAAATCCACAGGACATGAAAGACTGGACACTAAACCGCCAAGACTCCCTTGACCAGGCCATGTCAAAATCAGACTCATCCGAGGTTCACATGCTTTCTTTCTCTCTATCACAGCAGCTGATGACCCCCACGGTCGGACCAAATGATATTATGTACCCAGGCATGGACTTCCCAGCAGTCCCTGACATGGACCATGAAATGACCCGGGATCTTTATAACTCCTTCCTGGATTTCTCTTCTGTTGAAAATGATGTCTGTGTCGGAAACGGCACCCCAGATGATGCTCTTTCCATCGGGCACAGCTCTCACAGTACCGAGGACGGCCACTATATCACAGGCCCAGAGTGGACCCCAATGATGCATGATACCCATTACCCAGGAACCACCATGGAATACGCGTCAGGTCTTTACCAGACCGCCCCGGTCTCCCCACCACTGACCGACGCTAGCAATGATATTTCTTGCTCACACGCGGGATACTCTTCATTCATGGCCCCCGATGATGCACTCCTCGGAGATTTCACCACATCGCCCATTGGAACGACCCATGGACTCAACCCTGCGGAGCCCTTGTTCCCCAGCTCCTCTATCAACGACAGAGATCCCCACAGGTGAGTGTCAGAAAGAGGTACACCCAGAATACAAATGTGATCGGAAACCTAACCACAATATCGTAGGACCATCAGACCCTCAAAGCCATCCCGACGTTCGGCGTTGTCATCTGTTTCCCAGCAACAAATCAAGACTGAGCCCGATTTCTTCCCTACCCTCCCAGTGAGAGAGCCAGCCCGCCCAAGATCCAAGGAAGGTGTTGAGGCTCGCAACCCGCGAGAGCACCAGTATTATTCCATGTCCACCCACAGCGATGGAAAATACTACTGCCCATTTGCCACTGGAGAGAAACCCTGCAGCCACCCACCCACCACGCAAAAATGCGCTTACCAGCAAGTCCTCCCGTGATGAAATCTTTGGTGCAATGAACCCAGCTAACCAATATCAACTAACAGCAAGTACTTGGATTCCCATCTGAAGCCATACCGCTGCAAGGTCCCCGCCTGCATCGATGCCCAGCTGCGCTTCTCTTCCAACGCCTGTCTGTTCCGCCACGAGCGCGAGGCTCACGGACTACATGGCCATGGAGATAACCCCCACCTCTGCCTGTGGGAGGGCTGTGAACGCGCCGTTCCAGGAAATGGATTCCCACGGAGATGGAACCTTTACGACCACATGCGTCGCGTGCACGACTATGCCACTTCCGAGCGCCACAGCTCGCCCGAGACCTCGCCCGGTGCTGGTCAGATCAAGAAGAAGGAACCCACTGGCCGCAAGAGAAGAGTCACCGGTGCCACCCCGGCGCCCACCATGAAGCGCACTCGGTCCGTCAACTCCCAGGCTAGCTCCATCAAGGCCAGCCAAGCTTCCGCTAGCCTCAGCCAGCACCTCCAGAACGCCGAGCAGAACTTCTTCAAGTGCCGCTCGCGTCTGCTCGAGGAGCTGAGTGCCATTTCCCCTAAGGATACCATTATGCACGAGAAGGTCAATGCCGGTTTCCAGGAACTGTTCACTTTGGGCTTGAACTACCGCCAGATTGAGGCCAGCCAGGCTGTTTCCCACATGCCCAATGGATTGCCTTGAAGGGTTAAGGAGCTGTAGGCCCTCCGTCCTGGAGGAGAACAGCGGTTTTCTTTTGAACGACACGAACAAACTTCACGGAGGATTTTTTTCTTGATTTCCTTTTTTACTCCGGCTAGACTGTGCTTGCTGGCTAGGCACTTTTACATGGAGAACCCGGTGCGATCGCTCGCGAGTACACAATGGACTTCGGCCGAAGGATTGTCCCGTTTGATCCCATCATCGGACAAGGACGATTCGATTCCAGATATGGATATTACGGCCAGGAACTGGATAGGACGCGTGGTACTCCACCCCACGCTCGAGAGCTTGTTGATCCGCTCCGGATCGCAGGCTGCTCCTCACATGGGGATCTGGATTCGTACCAAGGGCTTCTGAGCTTCTTGGCCTGAATTCCAGATCTATGGATAAAATCATCCCCAATGACACAAAAGACCCGAAACTTATGCGGAGGAAACAGCAAAGCGGGATACAGTGTCTCAAGGGGAAGAAGAATGACAGTAAAGAGAGATATAGCCATGTATTGTCCAACAATTGGTTGGATTCTGATTTATGCATGTTGATAGATAGTCTTGCGTTCTTGTATCTTCTTTCAAATGACCTTTTACTTTGCAATCCTTTTAAACCACGTACAGCTGTAGATCTGAAGGGTATCCAAGTCGTAACCTCGTTTTCTCATAAACACCAACTGACTTTTCATAATGAACAAGACCGCACAAGCATCTATTCTTCCGCAGCCTCCGTAACCGCACCCGAGAACTCAGCATTGAGAAACCGCACAAACGCATCTCCAATCTGATCCGCCGCCAATGAACCATGACCCCGACCGACATACGATCTATGCAAGCTAATCCACTGCCTCCGCAGCCTCTGCAGCCGCGGCAACGCCAGAATCCCCCCAGCAGCAGCGAGCTCATCCGTTGTTCCCGCCATGGCAACATGAGCCGGAATAAGTATGGGAATAGTAGTCTCGGGCACGTCAATGGCGATTGTATCTCTGCGACTGCTCTGCGCAAGAGCTACCTGCGCCGACGGGTATGTCTGCGTGAAATTGCGGATCGCAGTCACGACCGCCGATGTCCGCTTCTCCATTGCGTACATTGCGTTCGAGTCCGTTGCCGCTGCTTGCACAGTGGCTTGGTGCGGGATGATTCGGGCGCGGGTGGAGATCCCGCTACGGCCGCCGGCTCGTGTGCCGGTTGCTGTGCTGGCGACATCGGAGATGGTGGTGGATTTGAGGGCGTCGATTAGGCTTGCGGTGGGGGTTTCGGTGGGTGCTTCGGTTGAGGGGAGGACGACGCCGGTCAGGGCTTCGAAGATGTCTGAAACCGGGGGTTCGGCGTCCGCCCAGGGGACTGTGAAGAGCGGCTTATCCCAGCGGCTGTGGGTGCTTGGTTCCTCGTAGCGGAAGATGAGGTTGTTGAGGAGTTCGGGTGGGTAGGCTTCCTCGTTGTCCTCGGTGGATGTTGAGTCGGGTGCGGGGGTATCTTGGGATTCGGAGGTCTGCGCATCGGATGTATTGGGGTTTGTTTCTTGCTTGCTGGCATCTCGGCGTAGTCGGGCGTCATTGTTGGCGACGCACTGGTCGACGGGTGTCCCGACGTGAACCTGGAGCAGACTTGTCAGCCATTGGGTGTCGCGATTCATTTAGTATCTTCCGATCGCGTACCACGCAGCATGTCGTTTGCGCCGCTTTAGCCTCACACCACAGCTGGTATCTCCATCCTTTGATATAATTCATTCCATCGAGGATGACGATGCTGTCCCGCTTGAGCACGCGTTTGGTTCGCGCGTAGGCGACGCCGCGTGCCTCCTTCTCGGTGCGGGCATGGTCGTAGACAATCCGTGGATGAGAGGAATCGTGTGAAGCGACCACGTGCACCTTGTATCGGGACTTCAAGGAGACCTGCGCGCCTGCTTCGGCTGCTGCGAATACTTCATCTTGGTGTTTCTCGATCAGAGATGCGAGTTGATTGGCGCGGTAGGTGAGACCGGAGCACGGGTACCCCGTTAAAATAACGAGCTGAGTGTGTAGATGTTAGATTTGATTGTAGAATATATAAGGTTTGTCGACATACCGGCATCGTTGACTTGTGCGTTTGTTCAAACAACTTTTTTTATCATTGCGGGGGTTGTGGCATGTGACCCGCATCTATATCCACGACCTTCCACCCTTGAAGAACTTGTATTTGCATTATCATGCAGAATATTATTGGCAGGCTATTGTAAATTGCAAATTTCTGAGCACTCTAGTACGGACACGATGCAAAGCTACATATACACCGAATTAGGCCGCGAGATGGCTTTCTCACTGAGAATCACCTGATTATTACATAAGCTCGAGGGCTTGCTCACTTACGGCGATGACCCCATGAACATGAAGCTTTTGGCGCAAATTTAGAGATGGTAAATATCTTCTAGAACATATCTCTATCCCAATGTATACAAATCTATCGAACTTTTGTCATGTAATCATGTCATCGTTCCAAAAAGGCCGAAGTATCAAACCAACGACTCAAACAGCTTTGGATGAATCCTCCAGTTGATCCTGCGCCCATCGGATCTCATATCCGAACACGGTTTTTCGGAGCCTTTCATCCTGTGAAGAGTCAGTACACGGTCATAATCCAAAGGAGAATCCTCAAAATGACTTACGCCAGGGTCTTTCTCAAAAAGCACCGTATCCATCACCTTCTCAAAGATCTTGGTGACAGTGAAACCGCTCGCCTCGGCCAACGGGAAGAATTGCTCAGTCTTGGGCAACAGCCAGGGCTGGTAGGGGGTGAAGATAACCAGAGCAACAGATTTCGGGTCCTTCTTCAAGGTCTGCTGCATAGTCTTGATCAGATTCGGGTGCTCGCGGTGGCTGTATACCACATCCGCCATGATCAAGACGTCAAACAACGACGGAGAGCCATCGGCAGCAGGAGGCAGATACGCTCGCAGCGGGCTCACATCGCTGCCCCATTTGTAGCCATCGACATGGAGGCGGGGCTTTCCGTCTTCCCTCGCGGGAATGGCACTGGCCGCCAACTCTGCGTTGTGCTTCATGTTTTGAACTAGATCTGGATCCGGGTAGTCGGTCAATACCACGGTGCGGGCGCCCTGAATGGCGCTCACGATGCTGGGAACGCCGGCCGCGGCACCGATTTCGAGGACATCCTTGTTTCGGATGAGATCCTCGGTGTGCTCCTCAATGTAATGGGAGCTGGTTCGTCCAGCGTTCCATAGCAGATTTCCCTGTCAAGGTCTGTAAGTAGGCACCTCAGCTGGTCGTGTCAATTGATATCATACATAGAGGGGGTGGCTGCCCACGAGACGGACGCGCACTTTCTGGCCTGATAGCATGGTGTGCTCGGCGAATGTGGGCGGCTCCTCTTCGGGATAGTACCCTTCCGGGTCCTGGAATAGGTTCCCTGAATCAAAGTCGTCGGCCATGGTAGTATATGGCTTAGTGCTTGGAGGGGAAAAAATATCAGTATCAGTTATCAATTTCTTATCGTAGACCTCGGTACGGAGTGTTGCCTCAGGCACTATCTGTATTCCAAGGTTTAGTGGGCTGATTACGGGGTCTCTCGGGCTCGGGATTCGATATTCGGGCCTTTTCATATGTGTATGTGCATTGTTCTTTGGATTGTCTGATGTTCTAACATACTCTACAACTCTACAGAGAACTGTAGTAGTTACCCTGTTCCAATTAAACGTCACGTGTATATTCCCACGTGATGGTATCGTAATATTGTGTGGAGAAAAGCGTGGAGATACCGTCACAATACGGTACAATACCCCACCTCGGACAAATCTCGGGATTAAAGGAAAAACTGCAGTTGGCCTTCACAAGGTCATATGCACCCCTGAGGGATTCTGTGTAAATCTCTGTCTTGCAAGGTTTAGACAGCAAGTCTTTCTCTTCCATCACTTCTGTCTCTATCATTCGGCCATTCGTCCATCGTCTGCCTAGTGGAAATTGCCCCCGCCATCTAAATTCGTCTTAGCTTCCTGCAATTTGCATCCTCGAAGCGGCTTCAATTTCCTTGCCACTCTGCTCCCTTTTCCATTCTTAATCTCCCATCGCATCTTTGTCCATAGCAACAAACCCTCTCCCCGTTCTATCAATATACCCAAGTCCACGTTCAGTGCGGCCTATTCTTCCTGCACTTGCAAGATCGGACCGTTTTAGTCACGTCATGGACTCGACTATGCGAACAGTCTACAACCCTCAAGAAACTCAACCTACCTCAACACTCAACCATTCAACCGGCCAGTCCACCATGGCAGGCCAGTCTCAAAATCAAAATACCCTAGAAGTCGCATCGAATGCAACCAGGCAGATGTTTTCTTCATCCTCGCTCCAATCTGCCTGTTCCCCGCAAACCTCCGCCCCTCCCATGCAACCCTTGTCACAGGCATTCGGCAACACATCCAACTCGAGTAACCTGCCCATCGCCCCCGCAGCCAACACCCATGCATATGCAGCCCCCACTTCGGCGTCCACATCCGATGCCTACCCCCATCAGATACACGGTCTCGGGGGCCCAACTGCCACAGCGCCCTTCCTGCAGGATTTCAGTCTTGTCGCTGAGGCAGCCAAGCGCGCTCAGATGGGTATTGTCATGCGTGATCTTGAGAGCGTGACTCTGTGATTGAGGTTTATAGATAGGGCAGGACCCGGGTCGGAGATGGGGATGCCGTGCCGCACGTGCGTCTCCGAGCTGCATGGACTGGCTCCATGTTCTAGACACGTCGGGTTGGGATTATTATAGCGTATTATACGTGGATTTGGTTTATTTTGAATTTTTGCGGACGCCCCTTCTTGTTCAGAAGCTTGTTGCGTTCAAGTTTGCATTCCGTCGGATGCTTTGCAGGTTGATTCTGGTGTTGTTTTCAGACGGTGTTTCCTGGTGCTTCAATTTTTCATCTGGCTCATGGCCCCTATACCATCTCACGAGGCATGCAATATCATCTGTTCAAAAATACGTGCCATGGACATCAGGGATTAGGAGCGGAGGCGGAGACCTACATAAGGTCTGCGTACACAAAAAGTGGTTCCACTATACACTATCTATGTATACCTCTTTCAGTCGACTTGATCTGCATATTACGTGCTTTTCCTAGGATTGTACCTCATTAGTCCATAAAAGGCACTTATAGCAGACGATATTCCTCCAATGCCGAAATGACATACCCCCCAGACGATCAGTGACGTAAGAATCTTTCCTTGAATCCGAACGAATCTAATCTACTAGATGCGGTATAAATCCCAGACGATCAGGTCCCACGGGATACCCTTTTGGGTTAACGGCCTTATTCCAGCGGAAGTTCTCCCCGCATTTTCCCCCGGACTTCGGGGCGGACCCGAGATCATTCCCCGGATCTCTTTGTAAACACATCCCTTGCATACATCCAAGACATACATAATTAATTCGAGACTAGTATATAAAGGATGAAGTTTCACTTCTACGTAGGCACGGTGTGGAGATTCCATTCCTTTGATTCTTTATAGTTAGTTACGATATGACTACCGTCGCGCAGAAGAAAAAGCCCTACTTCGGGTTAACAGGGGGATGGCTGACCTTCTGGATTACGGTATGACTAGAGGTATCTGTAGTGTTTGATCGGAATCAATTTGACTTGTTTTGTCTTAGGTGGCATGCGCAACCGATATGACCTTGTTCGGTTACGACCAAGGAGTCTTCAGTGAGTGCTCTGGAGACTATGCAATCTTGAATTAACCTCTGATTTCAATACATGCGGCGTTGTGATCACACAGGATTTTCTTGAAGTCCACGATCTGGTCGGGCCTACGAAGACAACGATGCTATCCACGGTGACGGCGATATATGATATTGGCTGTTTCTTCGGAGCGCTTGTCGCATTCACTATTGGTGAGCATCTGGGCCGGAAGAAAGCTATCCTGCTGGGGACTACGATCATGGCAGTGGGAGGTATTCTTCAGGCGAGTTCGTTCAGTCTGGCGCAGATGTTCGTTGGCCGGATCGTCTTAGGGTAAGCCTTCTCTTCAAACCACTTTACTATCTTCTAACATCCCTTATAGCCTTGGAAACGGTAAATAAGAACACCAGACGCAACTGAGATACAATATTCTAACGAGAATAGATTACTGTGTTATTGCCCAAATTCCTCTGTTCTCCAAGCTAAATCCATCAGTTATCCACCATGTCTAAGTTGATCACTATTTTTGGCGCCACCGGAAACCAGGGTGGTTCCGTCATCGACGCCATTCTCGCCGATACCCAGCTCTCGAAGGAATTCAAGATCCGGGGTATCACCCGCGACACCACCAAGAAATCGGCACAGGACCTGGCCAAGCGCGGTGTCGATGTTGTCTCGGTAAGATGGGATTTCTTATTTCGTTTTACTCTTTTCACTTCCTTGTTGTCTTTGTGAATAATTATCATAGGTAGAGAGACTAACATTCAAATAGGCCGATCTGGGCTCAGTCGACACTCTCACTGCGGCGTTGAAGGGATCCCACACTGTGTTCCTCGTCACCAACTACTGGGAGACTATGAACCCCGACATTGAGTTCTCCCAGGGCAAGAATGTGACCGATGTCTCCAAGGCTATTGGTGTTTCTCACCTGATATTCTCATCTCTCCACCATGTTACGGAGGAGACCAAGGGTCGCCTGAGCCATGTGCCTCATTTCGATAGCAAAGCCAGTATCGAGAAGTATATTCGTGCTTCGGGCGTTGGATGCAGCTTTGTCCTTCCCGGTTACTACATGAGCAACTTCACCCAGATGCTCAGTCGTGCTGAGGATGGGTCATACCAGCTTTTCTACCCGGTGGGAAAGCAGGCTCAATTCCCTCTCTTCGATGCGGCCCAGGATACAGGTGAGACCTCTCCTAGCTCCCCTCTTTTTTTTTTATACGCATTAACTCACATATCCCCTAGGTCTCTTCGTGAGAGCTGCCATAAAGCACGCTGGCCAGCTGAAGGACAAGCAGATATTGGCCGCTGCGAAGTACTACACCCCCGAGGAGATCGTGGACACCTTCTCCAAGGTGACTGGCAAGAAGGCTGTCTTCGTCCAAGTCTCTTCCGATCAATACAAGGCCTCCCTTCCTGCTGCTATCGCTGATGAGTACCTTGAGAACCAGCTATTTGTGGAGGAGCCTGGCTACTACCTCGGAGAACCCCTCGAGCCCAGCCTGAGCCTTCTCGATAGTAAGCCTACTACGTGGGAGGAGTTTGTGAAGAAGAACGTTTCTGCTTGGAAACAGGTCACTTGAAACATGTATTTAATGTTAATTGATTTACAGCTGGTTTTCTAAACAGATATTTGTAGGCATTTAAAAATCCATCAAAAAGCCATACGTAAAGGTATCCAAAAAATAATAAAAGAGCATCTGAAAAGACTTTAAAACAGAGGTTCAAAAAAGACATCTTGAATCAAGATTTTAGATTAAAACTTCTCTAATACCACGTTTAATTAACTAGGTGTTCAGATTCTCAGTTATCGGGATATTGATCTTCGGCTATGCTATCTTCATGACATTTATATATTGTACCACGACCTTACTAAAATTAAAAGACGAGAGTAAGAAGAGCAGGAAATTGTATATATAAGTGGAAAGATTTCCATATAGTTCACTTATAGAGACATAAAAAGTGCTAGACAGTTATTTCTCTACTCTTTATATGTCTATAAGCTACGAGATTTTACTGCTATTAGACGACGTTAAAAATGTTAGAAAGATTCCGGACTTCTGCAATTGTGGGCTTTTTATTCTAAGGACGCTGGATTAAGTAAAACATTGATTATGGTAAGGCTTTTGTGTGGATTATAGGCGCGTTATATTTGTTTAGACTGATTTCTACGAGGGATGCAGATGAAACAGGTTACACCAGTCAATTATTTCGGGATTATTGTCACATTGCGTAGGATCAACTTAGTATGATATGGGGCTCTTGGATATGATGATGTAGCCAATGAGAGCCTATACTTCCACTCGGTGGGTGATCTGCACCGGTACTCATTACAACCCTGTAATAATCGCGATGGGGGTCGTCTGTCTCCATTGTAGGTTCCCTGAAAAAATGAGAGGTCAGTATACTTGAGCTTCACGCTCGGTTGATCACAGAAGACTCACAAGATCATAAGGGCAGCACGAAATCCCGATAATCAAGTCCTTCAGCGCCTCCATCTCAATTTAGTCTCCGGGCTTGCTGTTGCTGATAGGCTTCAAAGTGTAATTGGGCGAATTCATGAAAAGGTTGAACGGGTCAGGAAGCTCGAGCCGTGAAGTAATACCATATGGCTCCATGGCCTCAGTGATATTCATTGCGCAGGACCGATGACCTTCCAGACCGCATTCAGCATAGATCTCCGGGAAACAGGGCATGAATGTCATATCGTGGACTTTGCAGGTATCGGCAATGATAGTCAGAGCAGGAGCGTCGAGGTTGGTGCGGAGATGCTCCCCAATGTCGGGACTGACACCTTGCAGTCGGAACCTGGTGTAAGACATCCGAACATGCTCTTTTAGGCCTGGCTCGTTAACCCAAGCCATAAAATCAACAATTTGGAGACCGTGTATGTCAACAATGCGGAATCGCTCCCCTTTCATAACCTCAAATACGTAGCCTTGGGCGGCAGGGACAATGTGTGTCTTCGCAGTAGTGGGAAGATTTTCCATGATTGTCGAATTATAACTATAATATCAAAAGAATGATTTAATGTTTGGCATGAATTGCTTCTTTTTGTAAAGAATAGAGATTTGATCGAGAAGGGTCATATACTCTCATACTTTATAACCATACGCTCGAGGCACTTCAAAGGTCAAAGGCACTATTGCAGCAGACATCAGCGATTAGGGAGACTTGCGGCACCATAACATAAAGTAAGCACAAAAAAGTTGAAATTGATTGCGTCAGGGCAAACTGTTTGTGTTTGCTACAACCTACGGCGCAACCCTGAAGCGAATGACGCTGCAGCAACTCAAACGGGCACCGCATTTTACCGTTCTATTATAATGACTATTGCTATATAAATAGCATTCGAAAAAAACATACAACAGTGAGGATTCGCTGGTGGTCACCCACCCAACTACTAACTCACCGGCGTGTGGCTTGAGTACGGCTGAGCGGACGGGAAGCCCTATTTTCCACACCCTATGGTCGTATGTATTTGGTATAGCACTGGAGGGGAACATATAATAGCTGAGAACTATAGACTATAGCCGCAGATGGGATGGTAAGAAGGCTTATCTCATCATCGCTATTGGGTCAGGTGATCTCTGCCCCTTGATGGTCATAGCGTCAGATAGATATACCAAGTGCTCTCATGTCAGTTTCTACTTTTCCTCCACCCTTAAGCCCACCTACCTTCTACTACTCTCATGTCTCGTTAAGTTTCATTTCTAAAAAAAAGTTATTCATAGAGGTCCACAACAGGGCCTAAGATGAAAATGCTATTGCTATACTCCGTACTGAACAAATAATAAAAACAAAAACATACAACAGTGAGGATTCGCTGGTGGTCACCCACCCAACTACTAACTCACCGGCGTGTGGCTTAAGTACGGCTGAGCGGACGGGAAGCCCTGTTTTCCACACCCTATGGTCGTATGTGCTTGTTACAGGAATGGAATGGATTATAGAATGTAAAGGAGGCAAGTGACATACGCGAGTGGCGTGGTGATGGAGATCATGAAACAACAGCTCCTTCCTAGATCCCAAGCTGAATCAAAGTATAAAATCATTAATGTTACGGTCAGTATATAAGAGTGAATGATGATGCTACTGTATGATTAATCCATAAATTCTGGATGGATTTAGAGAATTGACAATAACAAATGGCTGTCGTTAACAAAATGATTCTCTACGATGGTCCCAGGTCCTGTGTTCCGCTGACTCATCGGAGCTCGGCCCCAGCGGGATCTACGCGCCCCTGGCACTTGAGAGCTTTCTAAATTTTGAAGCATCAGACCCTTCAACTACATTGTTTTAAGTACTTAACTATCATGGCCGAACATCCTTCATTTACCCTTGCAGCTCTTCGTAAGTCCGTGCAACGAGACCAATTGCTATATTTCTGACCAAAGTAGTGCCTATCGGAGGTACCGTTGGGTTTCTACGAACGCGGTCAGCGCCTTCTTTGATTGCCGGTGTTGGACTCGGTCTATCATATGCCTATTCCGGTAAGTACCATGGGTGTGCCAGAATATTCCGAAGCTGACCATGTTACCAGGTTATTTGATCAAAGAGAACAAGGACTACGGCACTGAGCTCGCCCTGGGAAACAGCATCCTCCTTCTGAGCTCTGCGATCCCTAGGATTATTAAGACAAAGGCTAGGGCTGCTATGCCTTTGGCTCTCGGTGCCACTGGGTTGTTAGCATCTTTCTACTACCAGAAGAAGGTGCGGGAGTTCCGCTTTGGAGTCTAGATTCTACGATTTCATCGATATTACGGTATAAGCCATCAACCACCCAGATGCGTTGAGTGTCGATAGCAACCCCTGATTTGATCTCGGCACTCTTTTGTGCGAGAATAGCTGTACGAAGAACCAGCCTGCCTGTCCAAATGCGCTTAATGTACCAAAAGATGAGAATTACGTTACACATTTATATACATCCGTTTTCAATAGCTCCCAGGTTTCTCCCCAAGGATATTTTTTTCATCAAGAGCAGAAGGCACGAAATCATTTGTTCATATTGCGGGTTTACTAACTCGGAGAGCAAAACACGTAGATCTATAGAAAGAATCTATGTTTCAAGAGATTCCTCCTTAATTTCTGTTGATTTAGATAAATTTACGCGAGAAATCGCGCGATTTTAGTGGCCCTATAATCGGTCTTGAAGCGTTAAACGTGGTACATTAAAACGGCGCGCTACTTCGCGAATTGAAGAGATTTCTTTATTTTTAAAAGCCTAAATAGCTAAGAGAATCCTACCCTCTTACTCTATTGAATTTCTAGAGGATTGGGAGCGAATTGGTGGCATAGTGGGTGGTTGAACTAACTAAGTGCTAAATCATGGACGCCTTTTGGGTTGGGTGGCCGGCTGGCTTACATGGCCGGCTCGCTTACCGATTACGTTAAATGAAAAGCTCTGCCTATTTTTCAAGGGTTGGTGGTGTTAACCGTGCCAAGCGCCCAAAGGTTGAGAAAATTGATGTTATACCGACGGGGTGCCTGGGTGGTGTGGTTACATCGTTGGCTGTGTTTTGACAAATATAGGATTACGAACTTCATCGTTGTGGAGATCACCCCGATCGGGATTTAGAATATTGGGTGGAAGTTTTGGATTGTCTGGATGGTGTCTAATGCTGTTTTCCTGCCTATCCTCTACTTCTTCTACCCGGAGACTGTTACGTTCAGAGCTATCGCATGTTATCCTCTTACTCACTGTTATTGTAGCCAACCGGAGTCTTGAGGATCTTGATGCCTATTACCGCACCAACCCATCGTTGATTGTGACTGGAGATCCGGATACCATTTGTCGAAAACGCCCGCAGAAATACATTGACCGTGAAGACGAGGAGTTCGAGAGAATGGCTGTTAGTAAGGGGGTTATGCCTGTCGAGACAGCAGAGCGCGAGCACGTGGAATGGATCGAGGGAGAGGGGCAGTGAGTATTAGACAGTTGATGATAGGCATTGAGTAGTACAGTGGAGAGGATGTATGGAATAATAGCAGCTAGTTGTTTCAGAAATCAATGCACACCCAAAGGACACAGTATCGAAAGTAAATAGCGACGAACCCACCCCAGACGCAGAGATCTACTTACTCCTTAATTTTGATCCCAGTCTATTCCTGCATCCCTGTCCAACGCTAGTTGTCATTAGGGCCATTCTTCTTTTAGCCCCAAACGACAATGCAGGACCATTCCAAACCCAGCAGCCAATCTACCATGCATCGTCCAGGACATTCTTCCCATCTTGGCATGGCATCGCATCTGCGGTATTCTCCACAGCCTGCAGAAAACCCGGGTACGTACGTTATGCGATGCGAGTGCGAGTGCGAGTTCGAGGCGTTTGTTTTAGATCCAGAGAGCGGTCGGATTTAAAATACGTCATCTCGGACTTTTTCCAGCCTTTATTTTTAGGCATTGACTAACGGGCTGACGTTAGTCTACCGGCAATTGCTTAGCTTGGGAAATGCATGGTGGCGCAATTAGCGTTATATTTTATTGAACTCGAGGGCAGGGTTAGTTTTCAAGGGGTTCTGTATATGATACTCAGTATATTATTCTGATATGTCAAGGGGACGGGGGGGGGGGGAAATGCGAATCGATATTCCAAGGCCAAAAATCAAAATCCCAAACACCGAGCTATGCGCAAGTCAAGCAGAGGGAAGTAGAAACAACACATAACCTCAACACATGAACTAGCGATATTAATAAAATGAAAATGATCGCTGCCCACCGCAAAAATTGACGCAGAAAAAAAAAAAAAAAACATCAAGTGCAAAAACGAAGAATGAGTATACCGGAACACCCCTTGCGCATGTATGTATGAATAGCCGTGCAATGTACGACGGCTCGAGCGTCGACCCCATGATCACCGATGGGGACTGAAATTGCTCTCTTTTGATGATGATCATATATGATAATTTCCAGTTATTCGTACTGAGTCGAGGAACCGATCAGATTTGGCGAAGATATGCTAGCTTCCTTGGAGCGATTGAGCTTGTTCCGAGAAGAGAAGACCGAGAACCGGCGGGACAGCCGGCTCATTCTCCCAGTCGGCGAGGACCAGTTGTCGAAGGAGATGATGGACATTGGCCGCGACCGCGGGGGCCCGTGGGATGTCATCGGGCCCTCTGGGCGAGTCGGGGGAGCACTGAGACCGTGTCCGTCGTGGTTGATGGTTGAGTACCGCTTGAGCTTCTCCGTGGTTTGGTGAGCGTCTATCACGAGGTCTTCGCGGATGTCGTCTAGGACGTGCGAGACTCGACTGAGCAGTTTGGGGGATCCCCTGTGGATGGAGGGTTCTCGCTGCTCCAGGCCGTAGATTTGTACCGGGGTGGCGTCGGTTTCTTGGTCCATGGGGGACGAGTAGAAGCGAGGGTACTTCACAGTCATTGGGGTTCGGCGGGAGTTCAATGAAAAAGTGGATGTCGGCGGATGTTGGTATGGGGAGAGATGCGGCTCGGAGGAGACGCTGGAAGTATAGGAACTGTTCGTAGACGGTAACAACATGGCGGCAGAAGGCTGTGATGTTGCAGGAAGAGGGAAATAAGAGGAAGAGGGAAAATGCGAGCAGAAAGGGTATTCAGATGGAATTCTGAAAAAGACCGAAAGTGGATCAGAGAGACATCAACATTTTAGTTCGGTAACACTTAGATGACTTGTAATTTTTGTTTTGTTTTTATATTATTAGGCTGAATATGAGATTCGAGTAGGTCTTGACTAGGAGTATAGGAGTACATAGTATTTGCTCATACAACTATAGGAAGTATACTGTGTTGTATACTGTGTTGTATAAACAGTACAATCGGTCCATCCATGTGGAAAAAACCGCCGTGGGGTGATCAGATCATGTCTCAAAGATCTGGCAACACGTTGTCTTCGATCCCAATGTGACGCGGCTGACCAAAGCCACGATATTCGTAAGACCGTGTGCAACGGACATTCTCCAGGTCGTTGCGTGAAGTATCCCATTCCAACACGTCGCTCATACGCAACGAAAGCGAAAAATAGCGAGTTGCGACATTTCCCAAGGGGCAGAGCCAGTGCGTCCGCGGTTCCCACCGGGAACTGGGGATTGCGGGCTTGTGATTGGCCCGATCCCCGCTCAGGGGGGTAATGGCGCCATGGTTCTATACTTTTCTATAGAAACGCTTGAACCTTGACGTGAGACATTAGACATCAGGCATTGGGATGGGACAGTTACTGGTAGATAGGGAAGGGTTGGGAGGAATAGTTACCTATATTGTCTATGTATGTTGGTTGGGTTTGCTCTTGAGAAAAAAAAAATCTTTCCCATTGAGTTTGCAGATCCACCGAGCTGAGGCACAGGAGAGAGAACCACAGCCACAAACGAGCCCACACGTTTGGGAGATGCGGGCGCACCGTATTCCGTGCTATTATTGCACTATATTAGACTCCGTACAATACATCTAGTATATATTTTCCATCATGTTCGATTCTTTTCGATTCTTTTCCGCAGTATCAGGTAGTACATATTATCTACAATACTACACAATTGCCAAGGTTACAGGCTCTTCCCCGCACCGGAACTCGGGAGTCGGAAGTCTCAGCTGATTCATTTGCTACATGTCGATCATGTCTGTCATAACAGCTCGGATGAAAAATCCCCGGTTACATCACAAAGCGAAGGTTGGGGTCTGTCGATCTCCAGTCAGCCAGGGGCGCGGGTCACACCGCTGAAAAATAACTTACCAAGGGGATGGCTGCAGCTGAGTTGCGGCTTCTGCGAGTATTTGCCCTCGAGCTCATTTCGAATCGTGTTCAGCAGCTGCAGGTAACTCTGCTGGGGCCACTGTTCCAGTGATTTTATAAACGCCCAACTCAATGCACCACGCGCCTGTCCGTCCTGGAATGTATCCGCCCTGTTTCGAGGTTAGTTTGGATTCTTATCTGCCTTAATTTTAATTTTAAAACGCCACCTACGAGGTCTGTGTGTCCTTGGACCCTGAAAACATCACAACGTCGGCTGGAGAGGTCTTGGTCGTGATGGTGCGCTCACGGGCCGATTCGCCGATGACTGCCTTTTTGATGAACCCGATGGCGGTGGAAGCGACACCAGAGAAATCACCCTGTCCATATGAAGTGAATGCACTGAACAAGTCCTGGGCGGCCTCCTTGGCCAGATTGGGCTCCTTGAGAACGCCCTGCGTCGAGTAGACATACGGCAGATCCAATGCAGTGCCCGAGTGGCATGAATCGAAGATCGCCGTCAATCGCACGCCAGGCCGCAGTGGACGCACCATAATGGCATGCATGTCATCGTCCACAATGTGGCCAGCGACGCGGTAGTCCAATGGGTAGATGACATCGTCGAATCCATCGTCCTCATCTCCATCCAGATCGGGAGTACGACCTCCGTGGCCCGAGAAGTGGATGAACAACGAATCGTTAGGCTGGGCGTCCTTGACGAGCCACTGCATGGCGCGTATTATGTTCGCCTTGGTGGGGATGCTCATCGGATTCCGCTGGTCATCGGTGAGAATGACCATGTCCTCACGCTTGTACCCGTACCTCCGAGTCAAGAAGTTGGACATGTTAGCAACATCATTGATACAGCCTTTGAGTGCATTGGGCTGCCCTGCGTAGTTGATCCCGATCAACAAAGCCCGGCGGCGACCGGTACAATCCGAGTACTGGAACCTGTAGTTCGAGGGAGCACCTCCACCAAATTGCTGAGAATTATGGGGTGGGGTTGGGGGCAGATTCGGAGAGTTTGGACGAGGATATCCTGTCAACGGTTAGTGACGCCGCCAAGGGTTCTTGGCATAGAAGTTTACCATTCTGCGGGGCACTCAGAGTATGCTGGTGTGAGGGAGGACGAGGAGGTGGAGTGGGGCCGTATGGCGGGGATTGAGGAGGATACTGAGGATATTGAGGCTGAGGATACTGAGGGTGCGGATACTGAGGTTGAGATTGGGGATAAGCTGATGGGTAGGGGGAATGACCAGGACCCGAATAAGATGATTGGGGTCGATGACCGTAGGGCTGAGGAGGATACGGCCGAGGCGGAGGCTGCCATTGGGGAGGTTGTTGATATCCTCCCCATGGGGGAGGCCCTTGTCCTGGAGGTGGACCCCTCGGTGGATAATTCATCTCTTCAAAGATGCGACCTATAATCTCCTGATGGAAGAGAGGAAAAGGAAGACGAAGAAGTTGAACAGTTTAAAAGCAATCCGGCTGGCCGGGTGGGTCACGCACACGCAGATGGGACCTTTCACTTTCCCATTGGGACAAGTGTTGGGTGCCCCGGGCAATTCATGTACGGACTATACAAAGAACACTCCTTGGAGATTGGTAGATATGGGATCCACCGGTAGGGCTGCAGGTAAATCACTTTAATTCGCTTGAATGACTCCAGTAATGGCCCTCCTCGCTAGTAATGCGTACCATGCGTTGTACTGCGTAATCTAATGTGTAATCATGAAACAAAGCAGCCTCAGGCTGTAAGTTAGGCAGCGACTTTTCGGCCATCATGTGACTATGCATGTCGTCACCTGATTCCGACATCAATAGGAAACCTTAGGAGTAGAAGTAGGAAGAACTACGGGGTAGGGGCCCAAGAATAGACCGGGGCAACTTAGCATGCATAATGCGTACGTGAGACTAGTTTTGCCCCCAAGTGGCTTGCGAGAGACGTTTTTAATGGGGCGCTGTACAATTACATAACTAGATGATGTAGGATGCGTCAAGTTACAGTACCTTGAAACACTTACGAAGTATACGTATAGCCCATCCATGGATATTACCAGGGCGCTTTATTCACGGAGGTCACACACACCGGAGATCCGATAGGACCAAGGACTGAAGATTCTTGGCTACCTGCGAACCCCACCTAACCCGTGTTACGAGAGATCCGGCACTTGCTTAGTCCTAATGGAGACGGATGAGCCGCATTCTTTCGGAGATGTTAGTCGTAATCTGAAAACAAAAACAGAGCCTCAAGGATCCGATCCTGCCAAATCGCGTGCTCCGTGATCCGGGGATGTCTGCTTTTGCTTTCTTACTGTAAAAGCCATGGCGATAAGTTTTTCGAGGAAGGCTCCAAGGTTACAATTGGTTTGTCATTCCATTTTTGGTCTAGTTGAGGCTCTGCCAGCATCCAAGGTTTTGTACGAAGGGGTTCCATGGTTTTCATGTGGGCCTGTTCTTTCCTCTTTAGGACATTCATGACTTGAGCCTCTCACCTCCTCTTTCCTCCTATCTTCTTTCTCTCTGACATAAATCTCGTTCTTTCCTTATGACCTTCGATATGGACTTTGTTTTATTTTTCCTTTCCTATGGCTGTTGCCCTTCTGTCTGAGACACTCCCTTGAGACTATTTAAATCAACAGACTATTTGGCACTTATAGCCATGAGTCTGGACACTCTTTCATATGATGTGTTCTACCAGATCGCAACGCTGCTGGACGACTGTGATTTTATAAACCTTAGTCGCACTAGCCGTGCCCTATATCATCTGTCGCGAAGTGAACAGATCGCCCGCAAAACCGTCGAGGTAAGCCAAGCCAGCCCCTCGCTTGAATTACAAGGCTGATCCCGGCTTACAGAATGTTTTTCGCTACAGCAAAGAAGGTCAGGCTGCCCTCGCGGCCCAGTCCGGTTTTCGCCAGGCTGTTGGGCATCGGCTTGCGATCCACGAGGCTGTGGCAACAGCAAATCCGTACTCGGCGGTCTGCGTAGGCTATGGGTCCGAGTTTCTTTACAACCAAGGCCACTTATGTTACCGTTCTGACCATTGGATCCGTCTGCTGTATTTACATGGTACGGTATTCAGGGAGCGTGTCATGGACCTCCGTGATGCGATCCCACGGCTGCTAGAAACCGGTCCCGTGGAGCCGGGTGCAGAGGACCGGGTTACGCTATTGAGCTACAGCGATGACATTCTCATCTTCCGAGTGGCCGATGCGAACGCGACCGAGGACGCATTGCTCGTGGTCAACATGGCGTGGCGCGAATACCACCAGGGACGGAGCCGGTTCCTACTCCATGAGCCAATCCCAGCATCCGCACCGGTTTTTGTGCGACACTGCGGAACCTACATCTGGTATGGCATATTTATGGCCGGCGATGGTTCCGCGGAGGGTTCGTGGTCTATTACTGGTGTGGATCTCCAATCGTATGAAGGTATTAACTTCGAACTCGACCGAGTGGTCGCTGGCGATCTTGGCCAAACACTGTGTTTTGAGATGCATGGTGAATATCTCTATGCAGTTTCGACGCAGGACGCCGCAGACGATGATGTGCACTCCTCTTTCTACTATTGGTTCTGCCAAGCCCCTCGCGATGAATACCGCAGATGGAAAGGTCGCCTGTGGCGCCGAGAGCATCAAGAAGGCCCGATCAATGAGATGTGGACTGATCTTTCAATCCGCACGGATGAGAGGACTGGCCGCCCAGTCATACTTGAATGTCGCCGTGAGTGGCGTGATGGCAAGAGTGAAAACCACCGTACATACTACACACAGCCACTTCCCACACCAGAAGAAGCTCTAGCGCCTCTTGTAGAAGGCGCCACACAAAGTCCTTGCTGGGTATCTATGGATGCAGAGCACCCCTACAATGACCGACCTGCGAAGAGGTTGCGGCGGCATTACCATGCCGAGTATGAGCCCGGCTCTACCATGCGGCAGGAGTTCATCGCAGCTCGCACCAAACACAAGAGTTACCATCTCGGTGCATCCAGCTTTGTGGATATTGTTAACGATCCCGTCGGTGATAATCTACGGTCTCGAGATCGGATTCGGTTGCGTACGGTGTCGCGCAAGCGCAAATGTCCTATTGACGAGGAGGGAATTGAGGGACCTCGCAACCAACTGTTCCAGCCCACCCAGGTGGACCAAGATGGTTATCCTGTTGAAGGTTCCGAGGAACGCTTTGAATGTCGTGGCGTGTACATGTGGCCTCCAGAAGACGCTCCGCCTGCATTACAGCAATTGCTCTGTCCAGGCCCGCGTACTGGATCTGTGAAAAGCATTGCAGACGACTGTTCGATTATATACTCGATTGACGCCCCGGGTCTTCCCCCTAATCAACAAGCTCTTGTCCTCATTAGCTTTGATCCTAATTTTCAACTTCCTATTACTACGCCTCTTCCTACTGCTACCTCTCCCGCAGATCACTGGGCTCCTCGGGAACTGTTCCCACAGACGCTGAAGCCACCGCCTCCGTATTTTCCGTCGCGCAATTTGGTGGAAGAGGCACCACCATTCTTCCTGGGTATCAGACGCGGGTACTACCTACGTGGGATAAGGGATCCATATTGGAAGGGGCTTGTTCCATGATTCAACCGGTCAGGTATGATTATCTGTACAAGACGATAGGTCAATACCCACACTCAATGTTAACAAAACCAAGTTAAAATTTAAATCAGCACAGAGTAAACTTAGTATACGAGGTGGTCAGCACTAAACAAGACGACGACTCGGTCAACTCGGGTATCCAGGACGCCTTGGGCAGCAAACATCGTTTATGATTTATCATCGAACATGACTGGCAGTCAATTGGGCCCTGGATCCGGAACCACGGCCATAGATGCATATGTGCTCCATTCTATAAGATTTTCCAGAACTGGAATCTCGTCTGAGGTTGACGTCTACAGAGTGGACCCATTAGTATTCTAATACATTCAATTCAGCAACTAAAAGACCTACAGCTTTTCGGATAAGTTAATTGGCAACCTGCTCGGTGCTTTTGTCAAGCTGACTGCCCATTGCAGTGAAACAATATGCAAGTCTAACGACACAAGGACCATCTATTTATATCGTCATTTGATTTATAATTCATGTATTATCATCTGCACCGACCCGAGCCCGAACAGGCAGCCATGTACGGAGTATACAGAGCCGATGCACTGCCTCAGAAATGGAGTCGACAGGAAAAACAAGATCTTTAAGACCCCTCTTTATGTCTCAAGAGAGAAAGACAACAATACACTCCCACAACGCCATTCGAGATGAAAGACCACTGCCACAACCCAAAGGGGAATCAAGTATCATATAAGCATCAGTAAGCATCGCGCAACCATGTACACAGAACCCAGAACCGGAGACCCTTTCGACAAGAAAAAGAAAAAGCAAATGCCGAAAAGAAAAATAGGAAAAATAGGAAAAATAGGAAAAATCCAAATGAAATAGGATCGGCAGCTCACAGCTTCTTGTACATCCCAGCCAGCGAGTTGATGATTAGATCCCGTTTAACCGGGTGCGTGTTATGGAAAATATCGCGCACAGCAATACTCGTCTTCATCTTAGAGGCGAGCTCGGAGGTATCGCTGTCACCATTGCTGCTCGTGAGGTTGCCGAGCAAGTTGCTTGTGTCACCCGCTGAGCTGAGAATGTCGGTGAGGCTTTCATTGCCGCTAAGCAGATTCTGAACTGTGTTCTTAACAAGATCGGCGATTGGCACGTTGGCCGTCAGCGTTAGCTGTTTCATTACATTGGTGTAATATGGCACCAGCGTGCCGTTCCAGGTGACGGTTCGGGTTACTGTATCCAAGGATAAGTTTCCGGTTGTTAGGGCCTTTGTCTGCGACGCGAGTATTTCTCCGAGGTGCTCGATCATTGTGTGTATGTCGAGGATTCCGGTTAGAGGGAAGACATTGTCGCCTGGTTTGATAGTGACGTCTTTGACGGTGGCATTTCCAATGACGAGGTCGCCGCTCTTCACGTCGAGGACGAGCGTGCCAATATCGAGAGTCAATACGGACGGGTTGGGGAGTGAGACATTCCCGATTAGGTTTGTGCCGTCTTTGCGGGCTGGAACGAGCCCGCTGTTGGAGATACTGAATCCTTTGAATTTGTCCAGCACTAATGGGGTTAGATTCACTTCTAGGGTGATTTATTTTTCTTCGCTTACCTGGCGACATTATATTCTTGTCCATAGTGACCTTGGACTTGAGCACACCCAAGTATGAATTGGTTACGCCCCTGACTGACAGCGCAGTCTCCTTCTCAAACACGACATTGTGCACGTACTCCTCCCAGGTGGTCAAATTGGTCAGTGGCGTCTGGACCTTGGTCACGCCTAGCGTGGTGTTGCCTTTGACGACTTTGCCGTCGATATCAGCCTGGCCCCAGGCATTCTCTGCTCCGGTATCACGCACGAACAGCTCTAACGTGATCGGATCAATGCGCACTGGCAGTGCGATTTTGAGGTCCAATGCCGACAACAGCGTCAATTGGATCTTGTCCGGTCGTGGATTTAACACTGCGGCATTGACCAATACTAGGTCGGACTTGTTGACGACCATTTGTGAGATGGCTGGAATGGCAACCAGGAAACTGATTGCAATTAGTATTTGTTTGGTATTCGCAGGAGGACTTGCAACTCACAAGACAGGTAGGAAAATCGCCAGGAAGATGACAGTCACTAAAAGATGCAGACACCAGAATCGCTTCCAATGGCGTTGGAACTTCTCACTGCGCTTCAGCTTCCTCGTCTCTAATGACAGACCCCCGGCTGACTCGACATGTGCGAGCTGGGCGCCTTCATCGCCCTTGGATATCAACGGGCCACGATGAATACCCAGAGTGTATTTGGCATCATCTGAAGTCAGATATGCTGGTGTATCTGTATTTTTACCCATGATCGCACAATTTCAATTGACCTTGGAAGGGGAAGGTTCTGCGTATATGTATTTTAGCGCAAAGCACCCCCGGACTTCGTCTCCTCTCCATGCACCGGTGGGACCCCGTGGGTAAGAAAAAAAAGACAAAAAGACAAAAAGGAACAAAGCGGGCTCCTCGTCGGAGCAGGATTGCTTTCTTTGGTGAATAACGCAGAAGAGGGGAGGGATCAGCGCTTCAGGAGATGGCGATCTGCTGCCAGCCGCGGCTTATTCTAAGAAAGACGACACTATTCACATGGGCCGAGATGATCAACGCTTTAGTCGTTGGAGCATTTTCGGGGTTTTGCGGGGGATTTCTGGGGAAGCATTGGAATATTTCAATATTAATGGGATCATATACTCACAGATAGCTTCATTGACAACTGTCGACAACTCTCTAACCATGTCTTTCCCTACACCTCCCGTCTCCCCAGTGGATGAGAAATCCCAAGATTACCCACGTGGCTCCGATGCGACCGCAAGCAATACCACCAACGTCTCATCCCGGCTCCAAGCCCTAGAGCAACTAGAGGTCCTCCCAAAAATGCTGCAGGAGGGCATCCTCTTCGCGGGATCCGGTGCGACGCTACTACTACAAGCTGCCATGCCGGGCATCCGCGACGCAGGCGCCAACCACGGCGGCCACAAAGAGCTAGCCACGGAGCTTATTGACGCTCTCCAAGCCAATATCAGCTACATCTCCTGTCTGGTCTTCGGCACCCGCGACGAGCGCAAAGTCCTCATCGACCTCCTGCAGGATGGTAAGCCGCCCCTGCTAGGCGGCCGCTCGAATCGATTCGCTGAGCACCCGCCGCTGCAGCTGTGGATGGCGGCGACGCTGTACGCGACTGCGACCGATTTCTACCAGCGTGTCTACGGCCGTGTGGACTACACCAGTGCTCAGCGCGCATATGGCGAGTATACCTTGCTCATGGACTGTCTGGGCGTTCCCTCCGGTACGTGGCCGGAATCCCGGCAGGAGTTCTGGTCTTACTGGGATGATCAGGTCCATCGGTTGACTGTCTCGTCGGATGCGGCTCAGTTTGCTAAGGATCTTCGTGAGAGTCATGATATGCCGCGCTGGGTGCAGTCTTTGAAGCCTTTTTTGCATGTCATTACGGTTGAGATGCTGCCTCCGAGTCTGCGTGATGCCTACGGTCTGCGCTCGACGGTTAAGACTCGGGCTCTTTATCGTACTTGGATGGGATTCTCGGTCGCTCTTTATCCGGCTATGCCTGATAAATGGCGGGCATACCCTTTGAGATTCTACCAGGATCGGCTCAAGGAGAAGATGAATATGAAGGAGGGTTGAGTGTGATTCTGTGTTCTAGTCTAATATTTTTCTGTATATACCCGATCGTTATGAAAGACATGATTGTTTTGTGTATTTTGAAGGTTTCAATTGAATTTCCGTTTACATACACCCATTCAAGAGATGCTATAACTGCAATAAAAAGATAACTAAAGTGATTATCATGATTCATTCCTTTTATCAACCCTCACAGTGATCCTAGCACACCACCCAGAAGCTTAGAAATATCCTCGACCAGCTATATTACATTAGTACACAGTTCAGAAAGCAAAAGCAAAAAAAGCAGTACATACCGGTGTAGCATCCCCAATGAGCGTAGTTGTGTTATTGACAAAGCTCTTGGTCAACAAGCTGTGGGCGTTCGTCAAGATATCCTGCAAGATATCGATATTATCGGCAGCGAGCAACTTGGCCGCACCATCGAGGATAGTATCCAGCTTGTTGATGTTATCGGTGCTCAGGAGGCTCTGGGCGCCGCTAAGAAGCTCAGGCAGCTCCTCTAGTAGACCACCAGTGGTGGCCGGGGCTGGCGCAGCGACAGGGTTGGGACGAGGCTCGGGAGCAGCTAGAGCCAAGGGGGCAAAGGCCAAAGGGAACAGGATCCGAGAGAAACGCATTTTGTTATTATATTGAAGTGAGGATTGAGCAGAGAAGAAGAGGCAAACACATCCAGTGTCTTATAGGAGGCTGGTCTGTTTTCTGTAGATGTAACTCTCATTAGCGTAATTTGTGGAAATTGTCCGAGGCCGCTAATAGCGATATGATCTAGATGTTAAATGAGGCCGAGGGATAAGCAATGCCATGTGAGAGACATGGAAGGAATGGCGAATGGAGAAGAAGAGAATCCAATACGAGCATTTCCCCGCAAGTCTCTTCTCCCCTCAAGATGTCGCCTTTTAGTGGAAGATCGTCGAGTAGATCCCTTTTTTGCCCTTTTTTGGGGTTAGCGACATTTGCTTGTCTCACAATGCCTGCCCTGAACCTCGGAGGAGAGGTTCGGTTTAGTAGTGATCGGCAAAGGCTGTCCCTTTTGTCTACAAAAGAACCCTGCATATACTTTATACCATGATGCCATTTGCATACTTCTATATTAAATTCAATCTATAAGAAAAGGGACGGCATGTGCTTAATGTAACGATCTTGAGCTCCACCATACGTGCATTGTATAGAAAAGATAAGCGAAAAGGAAATAATTATACTCGAATTCACGTGTAAACGGAACCAATCTTTTGAATTTCGGAAAACATCTCTCATCACAATCGTATTTACTCCGTAAAAAGTACGCAATTCGTGTAGATCCTTCCATCACAGAGCTAGTGCCAGTCCAAGCACACCCAGCGCCCCCAACGCCGACACGGTCAGGCCCGTGGGCTGTGCAGCCGCACCCTTCGACGAAGTCGAGCTTGCCAATCCTCCAGCAGTGGCACCGGTCACAGAGGCTGTTGCTGTAACAGTCGCTGCAGTCCCTGTATTTGCCACAGCGTTGATCTCAGACGTTGTGGCTGTCAATGCCCCCGCCGAGATCTGCGACTTGACCACCGACATGTAGCTTTGCACATCCGATGGGAGAGCGCTGTACCAGGCTGGGGTAGTACCGGCCTTGAATTGGCTGGCGAGGGAACTGCGCTCCGCTGGGTTGATGAGTTCCCAGATGACGGATACGGGCACGACTGACAGGATCTCGGGGATGAGCGACTTGGGCGGCGGCGAGATGTTGGCGAAATTCGCGCTGGCTGTTTGGTTGGCCATTAGATTCTCACTGTGGGATTGTTAGTGGGTTGAAAGATATTCAGGGAAAGAGTCACATACAGTGCGCTCGTGATTGCACTAAGGTTGATGCCGTTATTTGTGGTATCTCGTCGGTGGTGGTGTTGAGCACCCCAGGCTGTTGCGGCAAAGAGGAAAGCTGTCGTGAATTTCATTTTGTCAAGTGCAGAGAAGAAAGAGACAAAAGGTATACAGACTAGGTACTCAGATGGGGCAGAGTCGGTATATCAAATGCTTAACCTGCTTGGCTAAGATCTCTCCGCATTAGTCTACAGTGGCATGGAATATACAATTAGTCCCCAAATAGCTTGCTAATTTAATTCGTAAAATTCCGAGTTTCTAGATCTTCTCCAGCCTCGGAATCAGATGCCAATCTGTCTGGTCCTCGGGAAATTACTTATTACTTCTTTGCGGGGAAATGCAGGGGATGTCGATGTAGCATTGCATAGAGGGGCTGGATGATCTGCGGTCGATCCATGTAGAATTCACATGTATCGAGACCTGTGCCTTAATTACCATAGCTCAAATAGAGAAAGAGGAAGAGTTCTCAGGTAAAGCGTGCTGTAGTTAGGTGATGGCGTTATAAAACTTGACTCGTTACATATATATCATACACTGTTACAAGCAGAAGATAGAAGTAAAATAAAAACATGGCATCAATTGGATATCATATCGTAGAAGTCGTGATAATAAAACAGGCCTGACCAAAGAAAGATAATGAAACAAGCGACCAAAGAAAAACCCAAACTCAAGATCTCATCTCAAGTCAAGCCTAAGCAGCATTCTTCTTGATCATATCAGCCTCAGCACTGAGCTGATGGGCCTTTCCCTCGTCATGCAAGTCACGGTACTTATCCTCCTCGGAGCGGTTACCAGTGACAGCAGCACCAATGGATCCAATAGCACCCTGAGCGCGGTTCTCAATGCCCTCGCCCCAGTTCTGGAGCTGGCTCTTGGCTTCCTGCTCCTTTCCGGCGGCGTTCTGCTCGGCTCCGGTGCGGCGCAGGGTCTGGTTGCCGATCAGGTTGCCGACGGACTCCTTGGCGGAGCCGATGGTCTGGTCCCAGGATCCATCGTCTCGCTTGGCTTCGTGCTTGTGTTCGTCGGTCTGAGGTAGGGTTAGTTGTTGTAGACAGTGGGATGATGTTGGGATTAAAGTGGATTGCTTACCTGAGTGGAGGTGTTGGTGCCAGTCACGGTTCCGATGGCGCGCGAAGCAAGATCGGAGGCTTGCTCGAGGTACGACTCATTGGTCGAGGCGTTGCCAGTGTTGTTAGTCATGATGATGGTTGGAAGTGGTAGTGGTAGTGAAGATATGAGAGATGTTTGAGGATTGAAGTGGTTGATGAATTAGTTACTGAGAGTCGTGGCAGGAAGGCCACTTATATACACAAGGCATTTTGTTATCAAGCCACATGTTCCAGGGCATTCTCCAATGGGCCAATGTGGTCTTCCAAGATTGAAGTTCTACAAAGTCCACCATTATCGTGATGAACTACGTCATTGGATGATGTCACGTCACGTGAATATCAGGTATACGCGCGTGCATGACGAGTTTTGTTCAGGCCAGGGACAAGCGTCATTACATCAATGTTGATGAATGTTGATGATTCGTACAGGGGTATCGAAAGATAATTTCTATAGTGTGGTCTATGGGTACAAGTACAATATAGTCCATACAAAAAAAGCATTATCTTTCTCACAGCCAGGTGGAATGTATTTTATACAGCATAGTAATAACCATAAGTTCATGCAAGTTCCCAAACACCAGTCGCCGCGTACGGCATAAATCCCATGCAATGCCACGCTCGAAGGAAGACTAAACGCAAACGTGAAACTAGTTATACGACTACCAGTGACAAATTCCACCCTCGTTTTCCTCAGCTGTCCATGTGCCACAGAGACCGACAACCTCCAGATGACCATCCGCATGCTCGCCAACCTTGCTCAGCGCAGCGAACTTTTTATCTGCAGGGCCATTGCTCAGCAACCGTCGTGCCCAGGCATCAATGGCAGGCTCTCCAGTCTCGTCTCGAGCCTGTTTGAGGAACGGGATGAGCGCCGTGCCACCAGTACCCCGCAGCTTCCTCTTGTCGGTCGGAGCGGCGCTTGCAAGATTCGTCGCTGCTGGGGAGTTGGAGTTGGCAGGCTGACGTGAGCTGCGGGACTGTAAGATAATATAGCGTGACACCATGGTAATATGTTTATCACGTAGCACGCGCAGCATGGCTAGACAGGCATCGTAGGCAATGCACAGCGCCGAGTCTCCGCGTCGCGCCTCGACAAAGGAGCGGATGTTCGCTACCGAGTCGATATGCTCAAGGAAGCGCCGGTGGGGGCCAGGCATGTAGGTGCGCATGTCGTGGATGAAGCTGTTTCGGGATTTGGTGCTGGCTTCGGGGCTTTGTTCACTGTCGCTGCGACTTGTACCGGTGGGTCGGTGTTCCACTCCGAGGACAATGTCGAAGAATTGGATGAGTGAGCTTTGGGCGTTGCTGCCCCCTCCGTATTGCCGGTACTCGGGATTGTGGCCGTCGTCGTACAACAGCCCATTTGGCAATCCGGCATCACACATATTTTTACTTCCAGCTAGATAAGGACGAATGCGGTTGTAGAAGACGTATGGATCGCAGTTCTCATACATCCTCTGTAGCAGTGTGTTGGTCTCATCGATGATTTCCGCTAGTCTCTGCAGGCACTCGGTGACAGTCTGGCTGTTTCCTGTGCGGGCCGCCGTGATGGCCCGAATCATCAGGGGAATAGAAGGGCCCCCACGTGCTTCTATGGCGACTGACACTAGGTAGAACCATTGCTCATCTAGAGATCCGGTGAAGGTTTGTAGACATGCTAGGTTATCCAGGCTGGTGGCTGGCTCATCGGAGAAGATCGGCTTGTAGTTCCAAAGGCAGACTCCAGCATATGTTGCAACGGGGGGTAATTCGAGTCGTTCACAGACTTCAAATAAGGGTACTGTAAGTTGAGGTGGAATCCTCTTTTAAAGAATCAGTACATCTACTTTTTCAACCAATAGGATGGGCCGGTACCTCTGTGGGTGAATCGCCACCCCAGACATAGCCGTGCAGAATGAACGCCAGTATGACATATGCACGACGCCACTCAGCCTCCGTCTGCAGGTGCGTGGCCGAAAGTATAGGCAGAGTGTCCACGACCGAATGCAGCCGTTTGCTCAATATCAATGGGTGGAGATTGCCAATTATCATCTCCCATTCGGCGTAGTAAGGATCGGGGAGCACCTCTAAAGGAAGTTCTGCGGAAAGGAAACCATAATCGGCAGTGATTCCATAATCGGCGGGATTTGGCACCGGAGACAACATAACAGATATTCAAGGATTCAAGGGTTCAAAGTATATAAATATAATAAATGCAAGAATCAGAGTTGAGAGATTGAGAAGTTGAAAATGGAACAAAAGGATTATATGGGATTATACCAGAAAATCAGACCAGAGAGACCGGGAATAATCCGGAGCCAGATGTATGACTTGGCTTCCCCAGGTTGGATGTCTGCGGATGATGACGGAAGAGAAAGAGAATAATATTTGGATTCTACCAACGTCGCATGAAGAAAATGGCACGATCTGGGCTAAATAGTCAGAGTTTTCGCCGGCAGTTCAGCACGTAATTTCACCGGGGATCCCTGGATGGGTAAGACCGTCAGACCATTTCTAATCATTCCGTTAGTCGTTAACTAAGAGCAATAGGATAAAGGGGACGAGAATAATAAAGTTGCAAGGGCTCCGACATAGGAGGGAAAGTGACTCTTTTTAGAGGACCTCGGGGAAGTTTTAGAGGAGTCGAGCAGGGCGATCCGGTCGATCAGGGAGAGAGACCAGGTACATTTTATATGGCTATACAATCAAATGATAGCACGCCAAGAGGGACTGGGTGCATCCGCGAGACCCAAGTGGAGTGCAAATTAAGCGAAGGCGAAACTGAGTGCCAGGCAAAGGGCCTAAACCGGCCAAGACACGGCCGACAGGGCCATTTGCGGTATTCTCGCCCTTTTCGCTTATTTTGGCTTCGAATTCGCTTCACTCAGGATCGCCAACCTTGATCTGAAGGATGCATAGCCGGGGATTTAGATCGGACCTCATGCTACTTTGGTATTTGGGCATATTTGATCCTTCTTTTTTTTTCTTTTCTTTCCTACCCATAATAAAGGTCCATATTCATAAATAAGAATATATGCCTGATGCATAAGGCATCACTGATTAATAATAAGTCTGGCCGAGGTCCGAGGTATACATCATAGGCCTCAAGGTACGTACGTATACGGGGTAGACTCCTATCCATGCAAGGCTCGGTAAATATCATGGAACACATTTCAAACGAGTCTGGAAATACCTAGCTCTCCCATCGTAGCACAATATAACTCCGCCAAACTTACAGCTCAGACCGAGTGACTTCACAAGAGATCCCAGGAACTCCCAGTAAATACTGCCTGAACAGTGTTATTCAGAGCGAGGTTGATCAAGGTTGGCTCCATCCCATGATCAGCCTCAAATCACAAACGAGAGAACATCAATCTACGATCAAAGCTGAACGCTGGCCACCCATATTTGCTCAGTCCCGTACGAGGATCCTTGGCAAATGCAACCCAAGCCCCAAGAAATTCGTCAATCCACGCAATGCCTGACACTAACCTTGGCTGACAAAGGGATCATAGACATGTTATAGTTCCAAAAACCAAAGGTATCTCAGCTGTCATCATGCTCTTAATCAAACCAGCAAGCAAATAGCTGCTTTCTTCTTACCCCCGTGATATGCTCCAAGCCATGGAGGTGGGCTGAGATTGGTAAAATATCCATGGTATAGATACCTCCAAGTGGGCACCTGCCGATTCACTCGAATGGTTAAACCAGTAACGGAGCGGTACCGGAATGAAGAGCAAATGCACTAGCGAGCGGATTTTCAGGGTACTATCAGAGGTTATTCATATATGAAAACACCAATATAGAAACGACGTGCTCACTGCATATGAATGGATATCAACCGAAGCAGCTCCAGCAGATTGACCAAACAGAAGAATCCTATCTGGATCACCACTGAATTCGGCTATATTTTCATGACCCCACTGGATTGCCAATCGCTAAATATGGTCAGTTCATTCGTACTCTCTCAACCACAGATTCTCAATATCTACCTGGTCCAGGAGTCCAAGATTCTGCTCGGAAGGGTCGATACCTGGCATTCAGAAATCCAAGAAACATTGAGCCGATAACTGGCCAGAGTTTAGTAAATCTAATAGCCAAAACCCAGCATCTCCTTACTTAAAAGTAACAACAATCAGATCGTCGTGATTCCGTACCGAATTCGTGCCATCGTAGTAGGCAACCGAACTAGCACCAGTGTCACAGCTCCCTCCATGAATGAAAATCATGACTGCAGCTTTTTGAAGTCCCCTAAAGCCTCGATGCTTGACAGAAGGTGCCCAGATATTCAAATACAAACAGTCTTCAGACATATGCCGAGCCCCCAGTCCAAGAACTGCGATGGGCACCACGACGCCCAAAATCACCACCCCAAAGCCCCATCGATGCATCCTCCTTCGGCAATCCCTGTCCACAGGTGCATACGTACTCCGATGAGTCTATTTGGAGCATTCTTCCGTATAAGATATGGAACTCTGGCGATATGGAGTCCCAAGAAATGCCCGTACTGTGTGTGCTGAGTCGTTGTATATCCCATTCAAAGAGCCGGAAGAGGTTACCACTTGAAGCTCCGGTGATCGGTGACCAGGGAGAGCGGCTGCATTACCCCCGAATGTGCAAAGGATGAGGAATAGATGCATCGTGGAAATCAAGTGCAACCTACGAATTGACTCTCGGTAGATAAATTTAACTTCTTTGCCAAAGAGTAGACAGCCTTCAGACTACGGTGGGTTTTGGGCCGAGAGAAAATTCCAAATTAATTAAATGCTGTTCATATTACAGACTGATCATACAAGACATAGGTCTTACTCGAGTGATATCTTAGACCCCGGGGAGCCCTTGAGGTAATCCAGGTGACGTACAAGGCATCGGGGCTTAGAGGGAAGATAGAGAGTATTTAATTGCGTGGTGATTATTTCCAGTCTGTACAAATCCGATGTTGTTACACTTCAACGCCGTCCCTAATGGGCTTTTGCTCTCAAAATAAAATTAATATGATCAATGCTGGCTCCACTCGATCGTGTTCAAATCAACTCCCTCCTGAACCAACTCCCAAAGCGGGCTCAGTTCGCGCAAGAAAGATACACGAGCCTGGACAGCCTTGAGAACGTAGTCAATCTCCTCGTCCGAGGTGAATCGACCAATACCGAAACGGATACTGCTGTGCGCACTCTCGTCACTGCTGCCCAAAGCGCGCAGCACGTAGCTGGGTTCCAGAGAGGCGGAGGTACAGGCACTGCCCGATGACAGCGCAATGTCGTTCAGCGCCATCAGTAGGGATTCACCCTCAACGTAGGCGAATGAGATGTTCACGCAGCCAGGGTAGTGGTGCTCGGGGTCACCGTTTAGCGTGGTGTGTTCCATTGCAAGGAGGCCCTCGCTCAGACGCTTCGACAGGCGATCGATGTGTTTAGTGTCGTACTATTAACCAGTCAGTTAGCATACTGTTTTCCGACGGGAAAGATAGAGTTCATCTGTCTGCCAGCATTACGCCCGCGCCTGACGTCATTGGAACTGAGTACCATGTCCAAGAACACGGATTACCTAGTCTCCAAAAGGTCTATCACAGTGCGTAATAATGGCAGCAATGATGGAAACGGGAAATAGAAAATGGGAAAGAGCTTACCTCCATATCTTGGGCAGCAATTCGGCATGCCTCGCCAAAGCCCACGACCAGGGAAGGAGCCAAGGTGCCACTACGTAGACCTCTTTCCTGTCCACCACCAGTGATGAGAGGATCGAGACGGACACGCGGGCGACGACGCACGAAGCAAGCACCAATACCCTTAGGGCCGTAGATCTTGTGGCTGGAAATCGACATCAGATCGATGTTCAGCTTGTTCACATCCAACGGAATCTTTCCAACAGCCTGGGCAGCGTCGGTGTGGAAGAACACCTTCTTGGACCGACAGAGACGGCCAATCTCCTCCATCGGCTGGATCACACCGATCTCATTGTTAACAGCCATGACACTGACAATGCAAGTCTCGGGACGCATGGCCTCTTCAAGATCCGACATGCGGATCAAACCGTTGCTCTGCACTGGCAGGTAAGTCACCTCGAAACCTTCATCCTGCAAGTGTCGGCAACTGTCGAGCACACACTTGTGTTCAGTCTGGGTAGTGATGATATGATTTTTCTTTCCCGAGCGACCAAAGAACCGTGCCACGCCCTTCAAACTCATATTGTTACTCTCCGTCGCACCACTTGTAAAGATAATCTCCTTTGGGTCGGCCCCAATCAGCTTGGCGATATGCTCGCGAGCCTCCTCAACTCCCTTCTCCGACTCCCAACCGTAGGCGTGTGTGCGCGAGTGCGGGTTACCGTAAATGCCGGTGAGGTAAGGAAGCATAGCATCCAGAACGCGAGGGTCCAGAGGTGTAGTGGCCTGCATATCAAGGTAGATGGGCCGGGTGCCCTGGTCCATAACGGTGGCTTGCTTCAGGATGCCGGCCGAAGGGCTCAACGCGGCGTCACCGGAGGTTGCCGAGCCAGGCAGCTTGACGCTCTGGGGCGCCATGTGGGACTGGTTCATGAATGCCTTTTGTTCCTCCTTGATGGCAGTCTCGATGTTAACCTGGGCTTGGCCAACTTTTGTTTCGGATACATAAGAACGAGCACCGCGCAGCCCGGTGGCGAGGACTCGAGGAGCTCGGGAACCATAAGTTGAAAGACGCCTGGAGAAGGCAGAGGCCTGTCTCCAAGCAGTGGGAACAGCACTTGTCATTATGGAGATGATTTGTGCCGATATCCTTGAAGGTGGGATGAAAAGGAAACGCTACGACTTTTTGTTAGTTATCACTTGCATCTCCTCCCAATGACTAAAGATCTCGGGGTTTTCCCAATTGAGTTTATCCGTGATGCCTGAGGCATGACGGAGTTATGAGCTTTCCCCTTTCGGGTATAAGTATCCAGGGCGTCCATGACTATATCAGATCTTCATTTCTCTGTTTTATAACAGTCTTGAGGATTCTAATTTGATCATTTTAGAGCCCTCTTTCTTCCGACTTCTTGTATTCACCCATTTCATCTCATTGCCAAGTCACCCCCCCCCGCACGTCCCAAGGAAGAATGGCCCAATGATGACGAACGGACTGGGGTCCTTAATTTGATCTTAGGACATTCTCGGGTAAGGCTGCCGAGGAAAGAGAAACAGTTCTTGAGGTCGTCGAGAGTAGAGATGTAAGCACTGTAACCATTCGAGGTGTTTAGAGCTAAAATATGTACGGAGTACTCTGTAACTATACACTATAGAACATGGACAGGAGTTGAAGTACTACCGTATGTAGTATGTATGTTGTAGGTCGTAATCCAGGTGCCTAAGAAGATATGCGCCACATGATCATAGGGCAGAACAGTAGCGTATAGAATAGTACAAAATAGCGTGGAATAGTATAAAAGGAAATGGGTACAGCCACACTGGACATCAGCTCCGTACAACGCTGGCCAAGTCTTATGTCATTGAAAAGGTTTGGGTTCCTTCTTCTTCTTTCCCCCCACCTTGGCACTTTCTCTTCTTCACTTCTCTCCTTAATATACTCCACATCATGAGTTTTAAAGGCTTCCAGAAGAGTATTGCGCGTGCGCCACAGCAGTTCAAGGTCAAGTTCAACATCGGTGAGCATTCCAAGGATGCTGTCTATACCGATGCCGAACGCCGCTTTGATGAGCTCGAGCGAGAGACCAAGAAGCTCCACGATGAGTCCAAGAAATACTTTTCTGCCATTAATGGTAACTCTTTGATCTCTCCACTCTATACCTCTCCCTACTGATCGCGTGCGCAGGCATGTTGAGCCACCAAATTGAATTCTCCAAAGCAGTCGCCGAAATCTACAAACCCATCTCCGGTCGCGCCTCCGATCCCACCTCCTACCAATTCGAAGGAAATGCCGAGGGCATCCAGGCCTGTGAGGAATATGAAGTCATTGTCCAGGAACTCCAAGAGGCCCTAGCCCCCGAGCTGGAGATGATCAACAGCCGCATTATCAGCCCGGCCGACCAGCTGCTCGAGGTGATCAAGGTGATCCGGAAGGTCGCGGTTAAGCGTGATCACAAGAAGCTGGACTTTGATCGCCGCAACGCGACACTGAAAAAGCTCGAAGAGAAAAAGGACAAATCGCTCAAAGACGAGAAAGCACTATACAAAGCCGAGAACGATGTTGAGGTGGCAACCCAGGAGTTTAACTATTACAACGATTTACTAAAGGACGAACTGCCCAAGCTGTTCGCCCTCGAAGCCGAGTTCATCCGCCCGCTCTTCCAGTCTTTCTACTATATGCAACTCAACGTCTTCTACACCCTCCACGAACGAATGCAGGGTATGAACATCGCCTATTTCAATCTTGAACTCGACGTGGAAGAGGCCTTTGAGCAGAAGCGCGGCAATATCCAGGAACAAGCTGAAGCCCTTACCATCGTGCACTTTAAAACCCAAGGCGTCCGCCGCTCTGGATCCAAACTAGGCCCTCCGGGCAAGGCAGGCGATATCAAGAGATCCGATAGCAAGAGATCCGATACCAAAGGCTCCATCGGCCGAGGCCGTTCCGCCTCCACCGCCACCGATGACAACCCTCCACCACCTTATTCGTCTGCCGGCGCTAGCCCGACAGGCAGCTTCTCTTCCGCCGCCAAGAGCAAGGCCGCCCCGCCTCCTCCAAAGGCGAAGCCGTCCCATCTCAGTAAGCCGGTTGAGACTGTCACCGCTCTTTATGACTACGAGGCTCAGGCACACGGTGATCTGGGATTCTCAGCTGGTGATGTTATTGAGATTACCCAGCGCTCTGAAAATACCAATGAATGGTGGTCTGGGCGAATTGGAGGTCGGGAGGGCCAGTTTCCGGGTAAGTGTTTCAAGTCTTTCTTGTTCAATTTATTACGTTTTCTAACATTCCTAGCCAACTATGTGGAACTGAATTAGCACCGGATACTATTAATTTTCTAGCTCCTTTTTGTCCTTTGGCTCTGGCGCACATGTGGTTCTGAACATAGAGCGTTTCACCTGTAAATATTTGTGGCTTTTTTTTATGTATTGTTAATTCACTTGACTCTGCTCATCGCAATTTGTTGCATTCAGTAGACTGGCTGTATTTATTGCACAAGCTTCATACATATATGTATTCTAATCCCATCCTCGATGGTATACTCAACTTCTTTCTTACTGTTGAGACTCCATTTGAACTTCAGAGCAGAACCTGTCCTCAATATAGACACTTACTATTAGTGAGAAAGAACATGGGAAACCCTCAAGTTCACCCACTCGTAGATCTACAATGCAGTCAAACGTCATGTAATGCAACTATGGCTCTCGAAAGCAAGGAGTGAAAAATAATGAATATGACTTGGTATTAAGAATGCATTTACACTTTGCAGATTGAGCCAAACGGAATGGTGAGCCAGTATAGAACCCAATTGAAGAAAAAAAGAAAAAAAAAAAAACAATTTACGCGTAAAGTCGATGTCTGGCCAAGATCCTGTACATCGAAATGAAAGGAGGGTATCTCTGAATTGCGGAGCGCTGTGCTCATCACACGATCTCATTGTTTCTTTGAACTCGATTGATCGTAATATCGTGTTCAACCGATATTCCATAGAAAGCATCGTTGTCGCGCGAGTTGTATGAGCTCTTGCTCATGGTATGGTCCGAGTAGCACAGAGTCTGCGCAGCAGTCATAGCAGTCAGGCTCGTTGGACTGTCCTTTGTGGGAGACAGTAAGCTTTCTGCACCACCAGCAAGGACCCGCCATAAGTTGCGTCGGCGTTGAGGATCTTGGCTTCCGGTACGTCGGGAGTGCTCGAGGGCGGCACCCGCCCAGATTGACGAGAGTGGGAGTGAGATGACGACCAATGTCACCACATTGGAGGCCAGTTCTGGCACAGTGATGTAGTACTGGACGATGGAGAAGATGGCGGGGACAACCATGGTCTGGCAGCCCATGACGAAGATGACTTTCATCGGGCCGAATTCGCGCACGCCGAGTCGGCGGCGCTGTTTGATGGCGAATCCGAGCTTGGTGACGAAGATGACGCAGAAGAAGCAGATGCTGATGGTGACGCAGATGTTGGTTGCGCTTTCTATCCACCATATATCAGACATGTAGTTGAGTGTGATGATGGCCTTGCAGTTCACAACCATCCATGCACAGCGGAATCCAATCGGCACCAGGGCGACCAGAACAGATAACACTAGGAGAGGATGTCGGTATCGACGACATAGTGTAGAGCAAACAACGTGCACTTGAATCACAAGTGATGCTTCGATGCAGACGACGACTAGGGTGGTGAGAACGACAGCCACGATGGAAATGGCGTATGCGCTCCACGGCACGGATGAATAGTCGCCGGAGACGAATGGATATACCGTTTCGAATCCAGTAGAGAAGTGGATGACTTGGAAAAGCAGACGCCCGCTGTTGAGGAACAACGCCAGGGCGTTCAGGATAAAAACCGCCGAACGGCGCTTGTCGGAATGGGTCAAAAGCAGAAGAATAACCAGCAACGTGAGCGATGCCCCAAACTGGCAACCGTAGTTGATGCATACCCGGACATTGTACATGACGAAGATGTCCAGTGCTTGTACTGAGACGGGTAACTCAGTGCCATCTCGTAGGTGGAAGATGACGGTCTGGGTGGATGGATCGAATCCGGGACTTGGAGATGGTGTCGCCGCCATGACTTTGGTAATTGAAGTTCAGTTGAAAGAATTAAAGGAGTGGTCACATAGATAGTTCTGAAGTTAGGTCGAAGTATGCATGTTAGAAGATGAGGTCTGTTTTAAAAGCCCTTGTAGGACTTGTAAATATAAATCAGCAATATCATCAAGAGAATCAGGGTGAATGGCCAGCGTCATAGAGACCGAGACAGACAATGGCGAAGGCAATGTATAATAATCAGTCCAGGTCCAGATCATTATGCCCTTCAATGTGAGTAAAAGAACAATACTAAGGGAATGGGAAGAACAATATTAAATGAAACAAAGGAGCCCATCAATTTCTAGGTACCGGGTGATAATGGCTGCATGAGATCTTCAGAATACTCAGGCTTTCTTGTGAATATCACTGGCTTGCGAAGCTCAAGCTTGGTTTTCTTTGTTCCGGGTTTCCAGGGATACAAACCCCGACTCAAGGATTTCGAGGATTTTAACGATGTCAATGAGTTCCAGGGATTCGAGGATCTCAAGGATGTGCCTTGTCGATAGAGTTCTGGAGAGGCCTGGACGTGTCATATAAGACAGAGGTCTCTGATTCAGACCATTAGCCTATCATTTAGCGAATCTGTCTCGCTCCTCGAGACTTCAGCAGCAAAAGGAGTGCTATTATTTATTCAGACTCGAACCTGTATCTTCTCGTGTTACGAAGGGACAAAAGCAAGACAAGATTATTTCAATGATGAAATGGTGAGGTGAGGTGTAAGGTGTACGGAGATGTAGTTAAGGCGCAGTGGAGGTGTCACCAAGTTGCTTAGTAGTTATGCTCCGTACACTGGAACTACCTTGTCACCTATACCTAGATCATAGAGACTAAGACTACTAAGAAATAGTATCTCCTATCAAAATATATCTTCTAATACAACATTTTGAAAAGACCACAAGGTCCATACTTCGCCAAGAAACTCTGCGGGGAAGAGGAAACTGTCGCGCCTCCAACCCTTTTCCATCATTCCTCTCGCTATGGCGGTCCCTCAGAGGACACTGAATTGGCTGTATAGTGTCCTGTCCAAAGTTGGTCTCTCCGAAAACTTCATGTTATCCGACCTACTAAACCCCTCCAGGATCACTATGATCCACAACAGACCTACCGCGACCCAAACCGGACCTACCACGATGTCGCCAATGCGCTCTCCCAGTACCCCTCGCTCTCCCCTCGAACAGATGTCTACAGTGAGTGTCCATATGTTTCTTATGCGATTCATATTTTCTAATGCCCAGCAGCCTACGAGACAGGGTTCTCGGCCCTCCTCCTTCATCTTGTGGGCACGTTGCCTGTCACCTTCCGAGGAACGACATATCGATTTCCCATTGCGCTTTGGATTCCAAATACATACCCACGCGACCCTCCAATTGCCTACGTGACGCCGACGCAGGAAATGGCTGTCCGAGTTGGGCAACATGTGACGCTGGAGGGACAGGTGTACCACCACTATCTAGCACACTGGGCTGAAGCCTGGGAGGTTAGTGCTCGCAAGATATGGGTTTACAGACCGCTGACTATTTTATTCACAGAGATCCAACATTGCCGATCTTCTTTCTATTCTTCAGGATGTATTTGCCAAGGAGCCACCAGTCCGATACAGACAACAAGTGCCACATCCTCAGCTGGAAGCTGCGCAAACACCCCCGCCCTTACCTCCCCTTCCACCCGGTGTCGGATCTTCAAGACAAGCTCAGTCTATGTCTCCGCCTACAAGCCAAGGCCAGCGTCAGAGCCAGATTCCACCCCCGCCTCCGCCGAAGCCAGGCGCGGCTGGAGAACATCTGCAGCAGCAACAACAACGGCACCCGGTCGATCAATATCAATATTCCCCACCGCTACCTCCACCAAAAGAGCAAGGCTCTCGTCAACCATATGTGTCCGCACAATTGGCTAGCCCAAGAATCCACTCATACCAGAATTACGCGCCACCGGCCCAAACTGGAGGGCCGATAAGCAGTCCTCGTCCCTTGTCACACCCACCAATCCATCAGCCAGCGGGGCAGCCCCAGTCGGCGCAGGGTCAAGCACCGTATTATAGAAACAGTGGTGCGCCGCTCCATCATGCGGCTGGGTCTTTAAGCCAACTCCCTCTTCAAGCTCAACCTACGGGGGCTCACTTGCCTATGCAGCCGCAATTCCCCCAGCAACCACACCAGCAACCGCTTGGTCCCCCATATCCTCAGCATTCTCCATACCCATCCAATTATCCCCGTCCACCCCCAGCAGCTCCCATCAAGGCCGACACACCCGACCTTCTAACCTCGCCATTTGAAGTCGAGCTACCCTCAATCGCGCCAGCAGGACCAGCGCCTCCCATCCCGCCAAACCCAGAGAAAGATGCACTCCTTCATGTCGTGTCCCAGACCCTGGCGGAAACCCTCCGTGCTAACGCTGCTCAATCCGACACGGCAGCGCAGTCTCTTGTCTCACAATCACAGTCCCTGCATGGCGCTATGACCACACTGCAGGGGGAACTCTCGGCGCTCAATACTCTCCATGCGACCCTCCAATCCAACACCGCTGTCCTACAGCAATCTATCCATCGCGCCGACGCTACCATTGCAGACGCGCAGGCCCGCTCTGTCTCCGCTTCTGGCGCTGCTTCAAGCTCCGCTACTCCAGACACTCCGGCCGGCCAGCCCCCAATTGATGACGTCCTAGTCGCCCCCACCGTGGTAGGGAAACAGCTATATGATTTAGTGGCCGAGGAGCAAGGTATACAGCAAGCGCTCTATGCGTTGCAGGCTGCGCTGGTCCGCGGTGTTATTGGTGTCGATTCCTGGTCACGGCATACACGGAGTCTTGCACGTGAAGCTCTTCTCAAGCGGGCATTGATTCGTAAAATCGGACGTGGAATGGGGCTGGATGAGAGTGTGGCTTGAATTACCGGATGCTGAGCATTGTTGACTAGATATTCTGGTTATATACCCTTGATTTTCCTCCATGTTTACAAACAGCTAGACGTGAGGATCTGTCTTTCTTCTAGCGACTCACGATTCTTTCCCTTTCTACTTCAATAGATGTGACGCTATTCGTACCTATGCAAATCCTGGAATTCCCTTATCTCTTGGGTTTGAAGCCTTCCCACTGTATAATTGTCCACCTATCTTCGACTGCCTGCCATATTGATTAGAACGATTGAGGTATGTATAAGAATAGGGGGTTGTGACTGACAGGGACTCCCATTGCTAATTCGGGGGGGGGGGGGGGGGGGGGGGGGGGGGGGGGGGGGGGGGGGGGGGGGGGGGGGGGGGGGGGGGGGGGGGGGGGGGGGGGGGGGGGGGGGGGGGGGGGGGGGGGGGGGGGGGGGGGGAT